TATTATCCGCTAGTCGACGCCAATAATTCAGTATTAGAAAAATAACATTAACATGTCGCTAATAGCCTTAATTTCAGATTTTAAATCATAAGAAGCAACTTCGTTAGTGTGAATGTGAATGTAATTCTGGCTGAAGGATTGAATGGGCTAGATGATCTGCACCATCATTTTATTTTATACATCATTTTATATATCATTTTATTCATAATGAAAAGGGGTCATCTCCACTTTTTTGACATTTCCACTTTCTGTCGAATTTCTATTTAACACACGTAGATGTTTCTATTCCATATAAAAACGGGTCAACTTTCATTATTATTACCGTAAATACATCATATCCCACAAACCAGTTCAGTTTGAAAACAAGTCATGTCCTAGAGAGAAACAGACGCTGTGTGAAAAACAATGTCGTGTAGTGATAGCAGTACAAGTAAATCTCCTCCTTTAAAATGGAAAAAAGGTAGGAGGTATCAAAATACACAATCTTAAAACAAACAAAGCAACCGTTTGCTCTTACCACGAAGTTTGCTCTTTTTTAAATGACTATAAGTATAAACAACAAAATTCCAGAAAACTTTGAAGAGGTGCATCTCTTTTGTGACGGATGTCCAGGTCAGAATCACAATAATAATGTTATTCGATATCTTCTGGCCCTACTAATGACCAAGAAGTTTACTATTTACTTTCCACAACAAGGCCACTTATTTAATGATTGCGACCAGAGATTTCAGTACCGTTAAAAGAAAAATTCGGATTTTCTCTGTAGAGGAATATGAAGATTTAATCGTGTCTTCATCTAGTCATAACAAATTTGATATTAGACATATTACTTATTTATTACTTATACTTTATTACTACATATTACCTACATATTACTTTATTTACAAATTACTTTATTTACTGCTTTTAAGAAATGGTGACCAGATTTAAGAAAAAAAGTTCCACAGGAAGCTTTGGTAAAGAAGTTCCAAAAAACGAAAAGGTTAGTTTCAGTATTAACTCTTATTATGAATTTAGCTTTTCCTCGGATAATTTGGGTATGTCGTTAGCTAAACCATACGTTAATGGCATTCTTGATGAATGTTTTCACCTTTTAAAACCTCAACAAAAGAGCAGATCACCCATGTTTGTACCTGATCCTCAAAATCTTCCTGCCTATCAGGGGAAATTCCAATAAACAAAAAAAGATTGAAGGCTTTTACAATACATTCCAGACAATCATAAGCCATCCTACAACATGATCTGTAAATAGTCTACTACCAGTGTCGAAGAAGCGGAACAAGGGGACAATTATTGAACTATCCTTATTTATTTTAAATCATTTTGTTTTTTTTTCTAAATTTATTGTAGCTGTTTAATTTTTCTAATAATCAATATTCATATTATATTGACTATTTTTACTTTCATTACTTGCTCATTTTGAAAACAGGTTATTATCTCTTTTACAAAAAAATTCGGTTTCTAGGTCTTTTAAAATTAAAAAATATCTTTTTATAATATTCCTGAGTTTGTATAGTAAATCATAAAACCAAAAAATACATAAAAAAACTTAAGTTTTTAATAGTAATGAAGATAAGATATTTTTTAACAGTCCTGTGAAATTTAAAAAAGTGTAGGTGGCCCATTTTCAAAATGACCGATACAATCAAAGTCGACGCTTTTTTCGTTTAGACTCGCTATTTCTAGTTTGATGTGTAAGCTTAGTTTGTAGATTATATTAGCACTCCTGTTTCGCTTAAAGTAGAAGGGGCCATTGTATTTATCAGACATATCCATGATTGTTTCTTGAGAATGTTGAGACAAATGCAAAATGTTTTTGCCTTCCTAGAGTGTGTAGTAGAAGGAAAAATGGAAATCAGTCTGTCCTCGGAAACCCAATGCCATTCAGGGTCAGAAGAAACAAGAGTTAGCCAAGAGATGCAGATAGGAAAGATTAAAAACAGATTAAAGAGTAAGATAGGTACTCTTAAAAGTAATAGGTACACTTGAACTTTAAATGTGCAGGTGTGTTATAAAAATTGATTAGAAGTCTTCAAAAACAAGTATTATATTAAAGAACACCGGATCTAGAGCTATCAGCAAATATTATCAAAAAATATTTAAATTTATCAAATTAACAGTGACAAGATAAAATCTAATTAGACACAACATTTTATATTTATTAAGATAGGAAGTACTCTAAAATTAGATATATCCATTGAATTGCGTAATATGATATTTTAGAAAAATACTTTGTGAGACATGTCAAAGATTAAGGAACAAATGATTAGAACAGCATTATTCAGAGTGTCAAGGTTGCACAGAGGTTGCACTGCCATTAAATGATAAAAGATAGGACAAGATCTAAAAGAAAATTGTTTGGAAAAGTATTTAGTTTTTTTTACATATTTTGCATTAATATTTATAACAGTAAAATTAACAACCAAAGTGATAACAAATAAATTGAATGAAATGATAACACTATCAGAAAAACAACAAGGTTTTAGGTCGGGAAGATCATGCAACGACGCTATATTTATAATAAGGCAAGTGCAAGAGATAATGCTCCAAGAATTCCATACTGCCACAAAAAGAGTTGGTCTTAAAATAAATTTTTCAAAAATACAATTTGTGACAAATTTAGTCCACAACAAAAACATCTCAGTAGAAGACAAAGATATTGAGCTAGTTGACTCCTATAAATACTTGGGCCATGAGATCAGAATAACTCAAGACAACCAAACAATCGAACTGAAAAGAAGAATACATTTGTAAGGGCTGCATTTGGAAAGATGAAGGATATTTTTAGGTCTAAGATTCCAATGTGTCTGAAAAGAAAAGTATTTAATCAACAAATTTAATTAACAATAGTGAGTAAACTTCAAGTTGCGGAAAGGGCAATGGAGAGAATAATGTTAGGGATTTCTCTACGTGATAGAATACCCAATGCTACCATACGCAAAAGATCAGGAGTAGCAGACGTTATTGAAAGGATAACAACACTAAAGTGGAACAGGGCAGGTCATGTAGCAAGATCAGTTTGAAGTTTAGATTGGAGACTCCGAATACAAGCTAACAGAAATAGAGGTCGATCTCCAACGAGATGGACAAATGACATAAAAAGAGTGACTACAGATTGGATTCAGATGGCGCAAAAGTGGAAAAGCATGCGAGAGCAGTGGACGTTAGAGGCTAGTTGGTGAAATGCAAGAGAAATCATTAGAATACAACAAACCTGCATATCTATGTTTCGTGGAGCTCACAAAGGCATTTGACCGGTCAAATTAAAAGAAGTTATCCACTTACTGTACGCAAGAGAGAAAATATCTAACAAATCAACACAATAAAAGTAACAGTAGAAGAAGAAATAACCGACCCTTTTGAAGCTGGCAATGGGGTAAGACAGTTAGATTCATTGAGTCCTCTATTATTCAACCTGATTATACAGGGTTTTTCAAAAAAAGGTAACTTCGTCTCTAGGGTAGGTAAAAAACTGAAAAATAATTGGATTTTGCCGAAACTACTGGCAACATTGTAATGAAATTTTATAAGAATATGTTTTGGAAGCTGATACATCCCATGAATTTTTTATATCTGATTCTCATAGAGGGCGCTAGTTACACGGATCGTACTAAATATTAGTCAATATAACTTTTTTAAGAGTATAATTATTAATCAAAATTTCAAGTAAACTTAAACATTATTCAATTTTACACGAAAAAGGTACTCTTGGTAAAACTCGATACTATGTACCGTATTCGGAATATTTTGAATATTTTGAAAATTCTGAAGTAATAATTGATGCTGGTATAAAATAGTGTAACAGCTTACTCCAGGCACATTGAAAAACAGAGAAAGTCATGTTTATATAAAAAGAAGAAGAAGAAGCTTTAATATTTTTATTACGGAATTCTAATATGATCTTATTTAATTGTATATTTGAATTACTTATTCACTTTAAAATTGAGAGACATTGCAAATTTTTTTTAAGGCGCGTTCCAATTTGTTGTTCCATCCTGAAATAAAATGGAGCTAAGACAGACGGTATTCTACGAGTACAATTACTTTAATAAGTTATACCCTTTTACTCATTATAGGTACATTCCATCTATAAAATGGATCATAAAATGTAGATCATCGTTTATAATCTGTTCAATTGCCAGCTCTTAATGTTAATAAACAATGGAAATATGATTTAAAAAAATTACCATCTTCGTATCTATTGGTCATAGAAGGTTCTTTTTATTAAATTGTATTTTTTTTAATAACAATTTTAATAAAATGTTTAAATTTTTTTAATATCTCTTAAAACTGAACCCTCAAAGAATATACTCACGTATTTCCTCATTAGAATATGGAAATTTAATCCATAGATTTGTTTTCTAAATACGAAATACTAAATTAAAAAAAAATGAAATAAAGGACAAAATGGCTAGGATATATAATAGCGAACTTTTACATGCATAGCGAAGGTAAACTCTTGCATTATGCTCCAAAAAAATTATAATAAAACAAAGAAGAAAAAATAGGTAAAAATAATAAAATCCACACTTTTTTTTTCAAAAAGTAACAAACTACCTCAACTTACCACAGTATGATCATGGAAAGAAAAAAGAATAGGCAAGTATCTGTGAGGAAAAACTATTCAGTAGAATTAAATACAAAAACGATGACTGATCTACAAATTTTTCCTTCTTAAAATAGATAATAGAAAGCTTTAAATACAGCGAAATTCCTGTAAGTAAAAACTTTTTTACAAAAAATCACCACAAAATTGAAAACTTGTTAAATAACCTTAGACCTAGGTACTTTATGCCAAAAATAGAACCTATTTAAGTTATCATTCTCATTCTTATCATAAAATATGGTAACAATCTATTTACGGATAAAAATGATCAATTTACATTTCGATTCCGATTGCATAACTAATTAACTCCCACCTCAGCTGTGCACAAAAATTGCGCCGCAATGCAAGATTTTTAAGAAGACTTTTAACCCAGGAATATCATATAAATAAATTCAGTCGTTGACTGGTGTTCAATCAGTTTATCTGTAGCAAATAGTTCAAGTGAAAAAATATCGCATTCCGGCAAACATTTTTTTGATTGCGGAGATTATTCGATAAATAAAATAATGGCTAAAACGATTTCTTGTGGTGGATTGAGCATGCCCACGGTAGGATTGGGAACATGTGAAGTAAGTAATTTATTACTATATTCAAAATTATTTTTAACACAATATTTACCACGTAGAAACAGGTTATGTTTGTATATTATATATAGTATATTATATAAATAATAAGTATAAAAATAAATATTTTTCAAAATTTCTTTCTGACCAAAAAATATTGGTCTGTTACTAGATTTTTTTTCTTCTATGTTCAATCAAAAAAAATATAAATTTTATTGTAACACCTGCTTTTTCGTTTTTTTCTTGTTTATACTCAAGGGAAATAATTGAAAATTAACCGTATTGAGCCATTTTTAATATAATAAATTTAAAAAAATGTATAGTAAGAAAACCAATTCGTTTTCTGCATAAATTTCGAGGAATTTTTTTTTATTAACAATTTAATGAAAAAAATTAATTTTTTTGAATTTTCACTAAAGAAATTATTAACAATTCATCTCTATAGAAAGCTTTTAAAGTTGCGTATTCTAAAAATGTTTAAATTAATTTGTTGCACCAAAACAGCAAAATTCGTGTACATTACCAAAAATTAATGATTTTTTTAATTTGCTGATTATTTGTTTAAAATAATTAATTAAAAATATTAAATAAAGAAATGTTTTATGATACAATTAAAAATCAGTTATAATAAAAAATTTAAATTTTTTGGGAAAAATATTTTTTTATTTGTTTAAAAAAATTCATTGCATATTTATTTGCTGAGAATTCCATTGATACAAAAAGTTACCAATGGTGAGGTACTTAAGCGCATGAGTGAACAAAAATAATCACTCAGCAAAATCAAAGAGAAAAATATAGAGTTACTCCAAATCATATTGAAAGGTTAAGTGCAAGGCAAAAGATCAGTTGGAAGACGCCAGAACTCGTGTCTGAAAGACCTGAGAAGATGGGTTGACCGCTCATCCACAGAAATCTTTCGTGCAGCAGTTTCCAAAGCTACAATTGCCATTTGGATCGTCAACCTTCGAAAGGACGCAATAAGAAGAAGAAACATTTTAAATTTTCAAATAACTCAGTTACATTAACATGTAGGGTTGCATCGGTCCAGGTCGGGAACGTTTTGTTATGCCATTAGTGTTTTTTTTTTCTGAGGGTCAAGGGATCCACCTTTTCGTTGATACTATCGTATCCAACAAACCTCTAGACCTACAGTTTATTCCTAGGTCACAGAGTTTATCTGTTGTTTTGTTTTTTTATATGCAAAAGATAAAACAATTGATTTAGTTTACAAAATGTTACACAATATTGTTTATTATTTTGTAAGAACATTATGTAATAAAAACAATTTATAACCAATTTGCAAAGTGACTTCAGTTTATCAATAAGTTTATGTACTTCTTACTGATTAAAAATGCACAATTTAATCAACTTTTGTGTCAAAGTTAATTATATCTGTTATTATATAAAATACCAAAAAAGTATAAAGTAGAAAGTAACTGTAAACTTCACAATTTAAACTAATTTAAAGATATAGTCTTGCAACCAACCGGTGGAGCAAGCAGGCTTTTGTAAGGGTTTTAGCACTATCGATCACTTGCAAACAATCTGGACAGTTATTGAAAAAACAATAGAGTACAACATACCACTACATCTGGCATTTGTCGATTATCACAAAGCATTCAACAGTATCGAGAAATGAGCTTTCTTAGCAGCATTGGACGACGCTAGAGTAGATGCAAGATATGCTGCCCTCCTTAAGAATATATACGATGATGCTACTTTTCACGTAAAAATAGATGATGATCTGGAAACTATGAAAATAGACCTTGGCAAAGGTGTGAGACAGATATCCATAAACTAAACTCAATGCAAATCAATCAAGAATTAAATAACAAATCGAATCAAATAGGATTAAAAATTAATCTCGACAAAACAAAGATATTAAGCAACAGCCTAGAAAACATTACGATAGATAACATCAATGAGTAACTCAACGGGCCATGGAGAGTGCCATTTTAAATATAAGCCTCAGAGACAAAATTCCTAACACCGAAATACGTCGAAGAACTAAAGTAACCGGCATCATGGGAAAAATAGCGACATTAAGATGGCAATGAGTAGCACATGTAGCAAGACAAGACTCCAACAAATGGTCTCATAAAGTGACATTCTGGAGACCTCGAGAAACAAGAGGAAGCGTGAGAAGACCCAAAAAGAGATGGTTAGACGATATAACAGCTGTGCCTGGAAAGCAGTGGATGAGAATTGGAAAAGATAGGGAAGCGTGGAAGCATTTGGAGGAGGCCTATGTCCAACAATGGATAAATAAAGGCTGAAAAAGAGAGGAATCGCATCTAGAAATACGTGGTGGGAACGAATCTTCATATATGGAATCTTACAACGGATATATTGACAAATATAAACATTTTTATTATAACAGCTAGTAATTTTGCATTTCGTTTGATGTAATAGATAACAGTAAACTTATTTAAAGAATGAAACAATATTTAGCTCAAATAATATTGTTGCAAGATTTTAAACGTATATTTTTCGTTTCTCGTATTTCATTTTCGTCACCTTCAGAATCTGGACTGTTATTTCCAATATTAATTATGACAGCTTCGATATTAATATTACACATATTTTTTTCTCTAATAAACCACTGTTTAATTAATTTGTTAGTATGTTCTAGACACTTTGCAACGCGACATCTTTACACTTTTCAATTGCTTTCTTTCACATACATATCTGCCAATATATGGAGTATAGTAAACCTGCCCTTACAAATTCCATAGCATTAATATTGGGTACCTAATACGGTGGCAATCTAAGCACTTCGTATCTATGTTCTCATCTACAATGTACATTTTCTTGTCGATTCACCGTAGCCAATCATAGCAATTCTGGTTTTATTAATATTAATAATGTCTGATTTTAACCATTTAAAGGAAGGTCGTTTATTAACGATTTCACTATGGTAGGGTGCGTTGTTCATGAGAATCTAAGATGGGTGTTTTAAATTAGGAAGTAATTGTATACTTATCCATTTAGTAAATATTGTACTATTCATTTCACCGTGCAGTCAAGGATATGGATCAAAATAACAAACTGAATTCTGAAATAAAACCTTTTGCTGAACCGGCATAAACCACAATAAATCTTTTTTCATCATAACCATCTGGTTTAGGGTAAAGTGTGCAAATCGCGGTCACCTAAGAAAATTTAATATAAAAAAAGTAAAACATTGTGTATCAAATTTAAGACGTCAACCGGTCATTTGGGGTTTTAACTTATTGCAAGACACATTTAATTTAAAAAATCAAAAATTTTTGTCTTTGACAGATACAAAAAATACAAAAAATTTTTGACCAGTATTGTCGCCATATATGGGCAATACCGGGTCATAAGTGTGGGTAATGCTAGCCAATTTGTTTGTGTTCTTATTAAAGTAAAAATCAATATGTATTTAACAATTTTTTGTTATAAAACGATTAACGAATGTGCCTTAATGGTTAATAATTCAAGTAAATCAGTAAGAAAGGTGAAAAAATATTTTTTATTACAAAACAAAAAAAAATCATACATATGTGTTTTAATGTAAAAATGGTTAACAGTCATCGCAGGTATAACCCTCTACAGAATTCCATCCACTGCACTCTGAAAGGCCCATCTTGAGCAAAGGGTACATCTAAACCACATTTCCTTGCAAGCCAGGCATCTATCTTCGTCTGCATCGTCACTGTCATCGCATGGTATGTCGATATCCGATTCCGAAGAACTAATGTCTGATCATTTGTATATATTATAATTCCAATAAACTGCTTTATATCACTTCGGGTAATATTCAGTTCTTTGTTAGTATTCTGCTGTATGGCATATAAATTTAACTCCTCCATAGTGTTGTCTAAAAGACTATCTGTGTAGAATAAATAAAAATACTCATATGGACTTTTAGTTGTAGGATATGATTGGGAAGACTCTGATTTCCTTTAAATTCCAGTTGCTGTTCGGATAAGTTTAAATTTTCTTTTTCTGCCTATATTGTCTAAAAATAGAAAAGCATCTAGTATTTTTTATCACAAATTGATTGTAAAATATATCTTTGCCATTGAAGTAAACCAGAGTTTCTGAAGGCTCCTGCCCCACAGTACTATTAACTATATTATTATACGAAGAATGTTGCGTTTCGATTTAATTGAGTCTCTTACCACTCCCTGACACGTGTTTCTGGGTCTACCCGTCATCAGAAGGAGTTTGTATGATGACGGGTAGACCCAGAAACACGTGTCAGGGAGTGGTAAGAGACTCAAATTAAATCGAAACGCAACATTCTTCGTATATTTATCGTCCCTACTCGACGCAATGAGTACAAAAATTGATGGTAATTTATATGGGTAAATTGTTGGTACACAGTGGAATATTTTTATTCTCAGTACCGCTCTGAATGGCTTGTTTAAGCTTGGGTACACAGTTTACTTTAATTGCTATCGACTTATCTTCAACTATATTATTCTCTACAGCATTCTCATCCACTTCGTTGACTGGTTCAGAATCCTCATTATTAGCCTCACCATATGTACAAACAACTAAAAGCTAAAATTTACTAGATATGCATGATGTTGTTTGTAAAAAACAATAACAAAAAGCATCGCTATGAGAAAATATGCGTAGTACTACGCCGTCTATGATTGTTTAGTCTACTCTGATTAATACTGCATTGTTCATGAACAACGGTATGCACAAACTGATTCATTTTTATCTGCTATCAAATAAATGTTCATTTTTAGTATGTTGTTTTTAAACAACATAATGCAGTGAAGGATGAACTCACTTGTTATCACATTATTACCTTCTATTATTTTGACCTGTTTCTCCTTGAATATAAGTTAAAGACCCATTTTCTCCACACAAATTAAATGATATTGTATTGTGTTTAAATAAATAAAACGCGTTGTTCTAATTTATATGTATATAACTATTTATTTTTAAGTTTACAGGGCCATATTATCTTATTAAGTAACTCACTCATAAGAGCGTTGCATTTATTTATATAAATAGGTATGTATTAGTATTCTAGAATTATCTGGAGTAAGTAGTCCATCTCTATTCTCCGTTTCGGTAGTTTTTCGAAGTCAGGGCGCTATTGATAACTCTATTGATCGTATTCTGAAGTCATCTTTCTGTGAATTGTGACACGTACCATGCATCGGAGGTACGCTGTTTCGTTACAATCTAAAAGTTGATTACATACCCATATATGTACTTTTCATCTTAATCTCAATTTATTTAATGTTTGATACTTGTAGATTAAAATCACCTTGTTTCGTTCCCACCAATGACATTACATGACTTCCTGGATAATATCTAAAAAACCTTTTAACATCTTTCATAACTAAGTCGTTTGTAACACCACGGTCTATCTCAGTGAAGAATGTTACCTTTTCACCATTTTCCTGCTTCTGTCCCACTTTTCCACAGTTATGGCATTTAAAATAAAAAGCCTTATTCTTCCATTTATTTCATGGTTGTTGATACCGTCAAGAATCTTCGTTGTACTTGGTGCCCGATAAAGATGTTCCTCTCAAACAGCATCATCTCAACATATTTCTCTGGATTCGCTGGCTAAAGCGACCAATAGCGAGCATGAGGGTAAACCCAACTGGTTTAAATAGATATTCTAGAAAGATATCAAATTTTAAATTGTCCTTAGTTCATTTTCTTTCAATACCATTTTTTTTTAATTTTTAGGCAATAAACGACAGCGAAATAGAGACAGCACTAGACGCTGCTTTAGAACTTGGCTACCGTCACATCGATACAGCTGCCTCATACGGAAACGAACATGTCATAGGAAGAGTCTTGAAAAAGTGGTTCGATTCTGGAAAATTGTCCAGAAACGATCTGTTCATTGTCACCAAACTCCCACTTCCAGGTATACATCCCGATCGGGTTGAAAAATATTTGAAAAAATCGTTAGCTGATCTTCAGTTAGAGTACGTAGATCTTTATCTTATACACTTTCCCGTCGGGATGAAAGAAGGACAAGGGCATCCACAATACGAAAAAGAAGATCACAAGGCTGTATGGCAGGTAAGAAATTTCATTTTCTTATAAAAATGTATGTCATGGCGTTATATCAAACTTTTGGAACAATAAAGTTGGTTAATGTATATTTATATGTACTTTTCTTAGAGTGTTAGTTTTTTTTATGATCGTAAACGACTTTCCTTAATCGTTTTTATTATTTTATTAAAGAACTGCTTTTTAGCTTTTGAATGATGTTTTACAGTCACTGAGACTGTTGGCCAACAAAATAAATTGTTTGTACTGGGTGAGTAATAAGTAAGAAGCGAAATTGAGTCAAGATATATACGAGGAACAAAAAAATCAAATGATTAAGAAAATTAAGCATAGGGAAAGTCTAGGGATTGCACTACTTGATGGCAAAATGAGAGAGAAAATCGCCCATTACAAAGAATTGCTAATTTGTAAGTTTTTGACAGAATAAGCAGAGGACAAAAGGAAATGAATAGAAAAGATGATAGCTCTATTTTTGAATATTATTTTATTTGCTAAGAATTCTTTTGTGAGATATAGCAATTATTCTTCAACTTTATGTCCACGCTTGTGTACTAAACACGGAAAATATAATATTCCTGCGATTTTTATAGGATTCCCTGCTAAATCTATTAACTACACAGTCATTTTTTGATATTTATTAATTTTATCATTTTAGAGCATGGAAAAACAAGTTGATGCTGGCCGAACAAAGACCATTGGACTCTCCAATTTTACCTTAAAACAAATCGATAAAGTTTTGAAATCTGCCAGAATCAGACCGGCTTGCAATCAAGTTGAACTACACGTATTCTTACAACAACCAGAGCTGGTTCAGTTCTGCCAGAAAAACAACATTGTAGTGACGGCATATTCACCGCTTGGAAATCCCGGTTACAACACATTTTTGAAACGTATTGGATATGAGTAAGTCAATTAAAATATTATTCACTTAATATTCACTATAACCATGTTTTCTCATCTAATATATATTTTTTTAATTTACTGTAATTTTACGACCCTGGCACAATATTTCTATTCTCCAGGGTTGCTAACACTTCTCTCTACGCTTTAAAAGGTGTCTAGATAGCTACAGTTACTATTAGAGCTACGAATACAAGCTTAAAGTCGTAAATAACTCCTGTCCTCTCCGCCATAGGTAGTACGAATCTAATGTTCTTTGTTAGAGTATTTTCTAAGAGAAATTACTCCATATCTATGCTCAGAACGATATGTCTTTCCTAAATAGTAGCAACTGTATCCATTGTATTGACATGCTTTAATTAGTTGCTATCTCGTTTCGCTAAAACATATGATGTTGATTTTCATTATATTCATTTTTTGGATTAAGTTTGCGAGTTTTCCTGCAGCATGTAATGATGTCGCCATCAGTACTTACCAAATGCTGATCCTCTCTCTCGGTGCACTCCCACCAACAACCTACCACTACCATCGATGCGCGCTGGATATGGAACACCGGCAAAATATAAAACGTCGTGAGCATGACAAGGAACTAAAATTGATCCGGAATATTGATCTGATAAGAGCTTCTACCTACTGTCTTATTTGTTATTTTCGTTGTGTCAAGTCAGGGATTTTGCAGCCCATCGTATGATTTTTCATCAGCCGCCATGTTTTTCGTGCAGACAGATGTTTATAAAGAAATAAAGAGTTTAGAAAAATTATAAAATAATATATATTGTCTTTAAATGATCACACTGCATACTCCATAACGACATCGCTTTGTTGTTCCTTTTCGTACAGGTGTCATAATAATAATCGAATATCGACTGACACTATTTTTTTGATGAAAAGTGCTATTACACACACTGAGGGATATTTTTTATGTTTTTGTATCATAGTGACCAAATAATACACAAGCAATACATTAATTTTTTTTAGGGAGCGAACAGGTTTAGTCAACGTACTCAACAACCCAATTATCATGGAAATAGCCAAAAAACACAACAAAAGCAGTGCGCAGGTCGCTTTAAGGTTCTTATTACAGAAAAACACCGTCGTCATTCCAAAAAGTGTCCATCCTGAAAGGATAAAGAGCAACTTTGAACTCTACGATTTTAGTCTCGATGATGCAGATATGAAGAAAATTGGAGCTCTAGATCTTGGAGAAGATGGTCGAATTATTGACTGGAAAGTTAATCCTGAGTAAGTATTCAAATATAAAAATAATATTGTTTAAAGTAGTTTCTCATTTTCTGATTTTCTTTAGCATATGCCAGTAGATATTAAAATTTAATTGTCACGACGCTGGCTCACAGCTGACAAAACGTGTCACGACGTTGAATTGCTGCTGACACATAAAATTTACGTGAAGTAATATGTGTATGAAAAGTCACGTACAACGTGGAATTGTATGTCAAAACATAAAGTGAAATGTGACACTTCATATCAAATCTAAAATAAAATGTCATTTAAATGAAACTTTTCACGTAAAATGTCTCGTTTTACGTATAAGTATCAGGCCATCGTAGTGTTGATTCGATTCGTTGATGCTTCCTCTTTCTTATACCGTTTAACCTTAACCGTGACCCTAAAAAGCGCCCCAAAAATGAGCAGAATGAACCTTATCATATTTTGTCATTTTTTTATAAGAAATAACATGAGACAAGTTTACCAACAATTAGACTTTTCTCTCTACCATTATACTAGTAGAACTTACAAATCTAACAATTCAAGATCGTAGGGTGATAAACACGGATCTTTGGACTAGAGTCTAGACCCTTTCTTCCGGTGATCTAGCCCTATATCATATGGTATTTACTTCTCTAGATGTCTCATCACATGCGTTAAATACTCCAGCATTCGATGTTTACTAACTGTTTTGTATCAATTCTTTTTTAAATCGATTTTATTAAATTTAGAGTATATAAATAACCTCCTTCTTATAGAATGAAATCGCAGTGATCTAAACTATTGAAAAAAGTATAGTGTACTAGCATTAATGTTTCTATTTACATTATACTAGAAAATTTATAGAATACAAAGTTGCTACTATATTTGCTGTATCATCAGTTTAAGAAACTCTATCGTTATCCGAAGAATCATCACGATCATTAAAATAAATAAAAAAGAAGACCAAGTTTAGATCCTTAGGCAACTCCCGCCTACTTCTATTATTTGCACTTATGGTATTCTGGCATATTATTCTTCTTCTAGTTCCATGACCGTTTTAAACGATAGATATTATGTTAGCTTCCATATTCGTGATCATTTATTGACACCAACAGTAATTAATGATTTCGTTGATTTTTCATAGCATTGCCTCTCCAAGTTTTTTAGCAATAATGTTCATCTTCTGCCAAAATTACGTTTACCTTGGATCTGCATGATAAGATGTAAAAGTTCATATTTTTCAGGGTGTCTCGATGGTGGTACCTACACAACTTGCCTCTTTTATATATCGATTAGTTTTGTTGTTTGGTTCAACCGTTTAAGAACCTCCTCATTGCTGCCTCTTTCCTCTCAGCTAATCTTTAGTAGTCATATCTTAAATACTTCCAAACATTTAAGCGCGGTCTCACCTATAGTCCACGCTTCTACTCCATATATTGGTAATCGCAAGAAACAATAATGTCATTTATATACATACAGACGAGTATGAGAGATTTTTTGAGAGATAAATCCTCAGAAGAATCTTTGGACTCACGAGTCGAATACTAACCAATACCGAATGAGAATAAATGCCGAGATGTGTATGGCTAGCGATGTAGTCCAAGAGATTAAATCCTAACGTGGTTCCACTGGCCATGTCCACAGATTAACTTATTAAGGTAATCTGAGAGGAAGCCTAGACAGAAAGAAGGCCCTTAGGACATCCAAATGCGATGGAGAGATAACATATGGTCAGATTTAAGAACAATGGAGCTACTCACTGTCTCAACTATCATGGACGACCATTCGAGATGGAAGCGGCTTGTGCAGTGAGGCAAGACCTACCCCGGATTGTAGGGCAACGAGAAGAAGAAGAAGACGAGTATATACATATATCATATTACACTATTAATTTATTTGGCATTTTGACTGTATATCCTTGAGCCTAACCAATTATTAAATTTTTTTTCTTTTATTTTATAATATTTTATTAATATTTTTTATACTATAAATTAATATATTTTATATTTTTTGCAGCATTCATGTGCAACCAGAATATCCATTTCCAAGGAGATAATTTAATAACTCAGTCGATTTATGTTTGTTATTAAAAGTTTTGATGATATAATGTTAACATGTTATATTATAAATAAAACATAAAAATAACGTACTATTTTTTATTTAGTTTATATCCCGTTTAAGTTGATTTACTGTAGGGGGAGTATATCCCTATACAGTAAATCAACAGAGTATATGTATATCTCTAGCTTTTACCTTTTGAAGGAACCAGATGTTGTTTTCGAGTGGTATCACCGGGTCGTGGGTGTAGCTATTAGGCTAAAATAGTCAATTCCATCCTCGAGGTTGCTTAAAAGTCCATCATCGGGTGAATCCATAATACTTTGGTCCAGGCTGACGTGGGAGAGTCTGACAACAAATCATTCTAGTCTTCTATTTATTTGTTTATTAAGTTCTATTTATTCATTTATTTAAGTTCTATTCATTTATTTATGATTATTATTTCCAAGTTGTGTTCTTATTCTTCCTCTTTATAAGCAATTTTGCTTGTTTATTGGCGGATTAATACCTCTATGGAAGATTGTCACTCCATCTTTTGCGCGGTCGTCCGATACTCCTTTGGCCGATGGATGACTTATCTCGTATGTGTCTCCTCCATTCTGCTTATGTGGTTATTCCATTCTTTTTTCTATTTTGTGTCAATTCATTTATACACTGTACGTTACATTTTCTTCTAATGTCTTCACTTCTCTTTCGATCTCTCGGCATATTTCCTGTAATTCTTCTCAGTACTCTTATCTCTGCCGTTTTCAGTAGTCTTTGCGTTGTGGCTGTGTCGGGTCTGTTTCTGAGGCATATGTCATTATTGGTCTTACATTGGCTTTATAAATTCTTGACTTCATCTCAGTGTTAATGTGTCTGTTTCGCCAGTTAGTGTTATTAAGGCATCCTGCCAGTCTATTTGCTTTTTGTACTTGATCTCTCACTTCTTTGTATAGGTCTCCATAGCTGAACAGTGTAATTCCCAGGTATTTTATTTCCATTACTTGTTCAATACTGATGCCATCAATTTCTATTTTACATCTGGTTAGTTCTTTGTTGACTACTATTGTTTCAGTTTTCTGACATGAGATTGTCATATTAAATTCTTTTGCTCTTATGTTAAATCTGTGGACCAGTCTTTGCAGACTATCTTTATCTTGAGCTATCAATATTTAATCAATATTCTTGATTTCATCTGACTTTTACAAGTATTGAAATGCGTCAAAATACAATCTAAAAAACTATAGGTACATAGGTAGTAAAAAAAGTATAAACTATAAGCACATAAAACATAAAATATCCCCAAAACATACAAATTGTTAAAAAGATGCCTGCAAGTATTCCTCTGACGAGTAGAAAGTGTTTGCCAGAAGTAAGTCCTTAACTGTTCTCTTAAACACATAAATATTTGACTCTTTAACGTAATTAGGTAATTTATTATACAAACTAACGCATGTTGGGTAAGGACTCTTGCCCACAACAGTGAAGTGACGAGCAGGGGTCACCAAATCATTTCTGTAACGAAAATTGTAGCCACTCATTAAGGAAACATCATTTCTGCAAATAAAATTACATCTATGTGACTTTACATAAACAACGCAACTGAAAATATATAGAGAAATTACAGTTAAAATATTTAATTGTTTAAAAACTGGTCTACAGGAATCCAAGCGCCTTCTAAACGTCATGGTACGAATAATTTTTTTTTGAAGAACAAGCACCTCATTAATTAGCGAGCAATTTCCCCAACAAACTATGCAATATTGCAAAATTTACTGTACATGAGCAAAATAGTAAAGTTTCAAGATATCTAGGGAGACGAAATTCCTAAGTTGCCTTAGAACATAACAGTGTACAGACAATCTTCCCACTACAGAATCAACGTGAGAACTCCAAGACAAATTAGAATCTAGGTAAACACCTAACAACTTAGTGGAGTGGCTATTTACCACAGACCCATTGTCAAGCTTTACTAATGGACTCATCTGCATAGTTGAAAGTGAAAAGGTTACCATATTGGCCTTTGATCCATTTAAGATTAGGGCATTATTTAAACAGTAATGAGTCACACTTTTTACAAGACAGTTTGCTTTTTGTACTACATGAAAAAAATTATTGGAATTTAGTGCAACTGTGGTATCGTTAGCAAATTGAGTGACGTAACAGTCTGATTGCTGTTCCAAATTTTCTCCTCGAAAGCTTATTGCATCAGAAAAATTATCTAATGGATTCCGAACCAAACATGTTGAGCTATCGTTTATCAGTTGATTTAAATTGTTGACGAAATCAAAAATAAAAGAGGGCCAATGATACTTCCCTGTGGAACTTTGGAGAGGACACTTTCGTCTGAAGAAAATATTATATTCCCATTCACATTGACCTTAATTTTTTGAAACCTTTTCGATAAAAAGGTTTGCACCCACTTTAACGCAGTTCCTCTAACACCACTATGATAAAGTTTTTCCAGCAGTATTGGATGATTTACAGTTTCAAAAGCTCGTGCTAAGTCAAAAAACAAACAGATAACTTTATTACCCTTATCAAAGTTCGATAAAATATGATTGCACAGCGCTAGTAGTGCATCTTGCACACTTAGACCTTCACGGAAACCAAATTGAGACTTTTCTATATTGTTGTGCCTTTTAATATACGAGAGGAGACGTGTATGAAATGCCTTTTCATATATTTTTGAAAACACAGATAAAAGTGATAGGCCTCGATAGTTATCAAATTTTGATTTGTCACCTTTTTTATGTATAGGCACAACTAGAGCAGTATTTAGAATTTGAGGAAAAATCCCTTCCTGACATGAAAGGTTTACTAGAAATGTTAATTGTTTATATTGCATGGTCTGCGTAACAGAGTATTTTTATTTTTTTTTTCCCATTCTGTATCCTCTTCCTTTGTTCGGTATATTATACTATAGTGATTTCTCAGTAATTTGCTTTGTAGCGAATGTTGCATCTGTACACGATCTTCCACTACGAAAACCCTGTTGTTTATCTGCTAAACTTATCCTCTGATTTATTAGCACTTGTAAATTTTAAGTTGTAAGTTTGGGGGTAGTATTTAACAAGTTTATACCTGTGTAGTTTTTGAATCGTAGAATTAGTTCGCTCATTCTCCATTCTTCCGGTATTTTATTGTGTTTTATAATTTTTTTAATTAATGTTGTTAATTGTTCTGTCATTGCTGCTCCACAATATTTCAGTAATTCGTTTGGTATCCCCTCTTTACCTGCTGCTTTTCTGTTCTTCAGCTTTTAAAGTATTTTCCGAACTTTCTGTACATTTATATTAAGTTTGTGATTTGTGGTAATTTCTGGTGTTTCCGGTTCTAGCATCGTTTGTTCTTCCTCTGCATAAAACTTTTTCAGGTAGTCAATCCACGTATCCTTTTCTATGTGTTTTGATTCTATTAGTTGCTTTACCTCCGTTCTTTGACTCCTTATGAAGCGCCATATTTCTTGCAGACCGTAAAAAGCATGTTCAATTTCTTTCAAAAAGCGTTCCCAGTGATCATTTTTTATTTTTGAGCATCTCAGCCTTCTTTGACTGAGAAAACTTAGATAGTAACAAAACCATCGAGCAAAAAGACAAAAGAGGGAATGTAAAGGTAGTGGGGGCAAAAATATTGTTAGACATGAAGTGCGATCTTTAGAGGCCACATTAAACAAGGAAAGAGAGTCTCTCTCCTTGTTTGACACCATATTTAGTTGGGTTGTGTTATTGTTTGTCCCAAATGTCACATGAAATCTTATTTATATTGAAGTTTTTTAACAATTGTGTCGCATTTTAGACTATTACCGTTAATAATTAATTAAAACTTTCTCATCTAAGACACATTCTGAAAAATATTATATAGCTACTGTTAATAAGTGTCGGAAAATCTAAATTTGGTGCATTCGCATTTCCGGATATGTCCGCCATCAGAGGCCACTTTTTTGGTCTCCTTTTCATAAGGATTAGATTCCCTCTTTTGTCTTTTTGCTCGATGAACAAAACACATAAATTATCGTAAACACCTAGAATCAGCAAAATGAGTCGGTTTCTCAAGGCTACAAGCTCATGAATATAATTAACGAGTTGCGTAGCACTTGCTATACGGATTTAGCTCCCCAGGGCGTAGAAGCTATACATTGGGAGGTAGAAGGCATATCGAACTCTGTAGACTAAGAGAGAGATTGCCTGAAAGTGTCCCATATTAATATGTTTTAAAACATCAGTATATGGTCACTTTCAGGACATTCGCCAATAACAATTATTTAGAATGTCAATGGTGGGGCAATACGGGCTAAAATGCATATTAGGTACAAATCTAACAGCATACGATACGGCGACAATGGTGTCGTACGGTCGCATCATCCTCCATGGTATCTTGAGTTTACTGGATAATTACTAGATGCCGCTCAAGAAGATGAACGAAGACTCTTCTGTTTCATCTTCTTAATGTTTGAGAAATTAATACAGTTTCAATTAACACCAACGAGAGGTTCACCAGTGGTTCTGCTGTCAACGGGGTGCTACTGGAAATATACAGTCTTCTTCTTTGAGTGTCTCTCCTATCAGAGATTGGATATCATTATGGCGATTCTAATTTTATTAACTGCTGTTTTGAATAATTCGTTAGTGGTACAGCCTAACCACTCTCTTAAATTTCTCATCCAGAACATTCTTCTACGGCCTGGATTTCTGCGTCCTTGGATCTTTCCTTATATTACATTTTTTAGGAACGTGTACTTTTGTCCTCTCATCAGGTGGCCTAAGTATTCAAGTTTTCTCTTTTTTATATTCATAATAACTTCTGGATCATTATTTATTCTGCGTATTACCTCTTCATTTGTAATTCTATCCACCCAACTGATTCTTAGTATATGGCGGTAGTACCACATCTCAAAGCTTTCAAGATTTTAAATATTCCTTTGTTTAAGAGTCCATGCTTTAACACCGTAAAGCAAAGTACTGAATACATAGCATTTTAACATTCTAGTTCGTAGATGAATACTAATATCACGATTACTAATATCACTTATACCGTAGTTATTACATATCTCATTCATACTTGCAACGAGATGTTGTAGATCTTCCACTGTTCTTGCTATTATCACAGTATCGTCAGCATATCGAATATTAGTGATAACTTCTCCATTGACTATTATCCCTTCGTTTGCATGTGAAAGAGCTTCTTGGCATATTTGTTCGCTGTAGATATTAAACAAAAGCGGTGACAATATACAACCCTGTCGTACTCCTTTACGTATTTCTATTTCGTCCGATGTTTGGTCTTCTACCTTTATATTAGCTCCCTGATTCCAGTACAGATTTAATATTATTTGCATGTCTCTGGTGTCGATGTTATTACCTTCCAGGATTTCTTTGAGTTGATTGTGGCGTACTTTGTCAAAGGCCTTTTCAAAGTCTATAAAACAGGCATGCACCTCTTGGTTAATATCTAGACATCTCTGTGTTAGGATATTTAAGGCAAATAGAGCTTCTCTTGCCAAGGAGGATGAACCAAGGATGGTCAACGGCGGAAGGATGCAGAAGGCAACGGGGAACCACTGCATTAAAGACTCATAAGAGTACCCCTAGTTAAGTCATTATGGTGTACAACAATACACAGTACCTATATTTAATTCATGGCATATTTTCCTTTTACTGCGAGTTTTAACTTCCATTTACTACTTAGGACTTGTTGTATGGCATTATAAGTTTAGCCATGTTGGTTAACAAGTAAAGGATTATGATCCCTTAGCCACCAATCTAACCTAATCTTAATGATCAGTTCGAGAGTCTTCAATATATATGATTATAATAATATAGGTCGGTGAGCTTTAGCTAATTTAGGGTTTTTTCTCAGTTTGGGAATAGGGACGACTATAATATGCTTAAAATCTATTATGCTGTTGCCTTCAATAACGATCTGGTTAAATATAGTTTAAAGTAATTATTTTGCGTTATCTGGCAAATTTTGTATCATAGGATATTTGACTGCATCTTAACACGTAGGGTAGAATTCTGGTATTAGGAATCTAGTAGGGTAGAGTTCTGGAATTAACACTCTGGTAAATTCTAACCTAACTCTGTTAATTCTAAGTTTACTATTTCTAAAACTATTAACAGACAATGAAGTGGGTCAAATATTTGGATAGTCAAACTTATCTAATATGTCAAAACGTATTTTTAATGTCAAAAAATTATAAAAAATTATAAATTTATATTAAATTACAAACATTATAAATCAAGATGTTAGCATTTGAGGTGTTAGTAAGATATTTTAGCAGGTTTTGGCCACAGGTAAATATTTTTGTAATATATTATAACATACGAAACATAGATATAGATTAATGCAAGAAAAAGTACATCCTATATTTTTTTCTTACTTTTGACTAAAGCTGTATTGAACTGAAACAACCAATGCTTTTTCAGACTGAGCCCTATTATCTGGTTTCTGAATCCTTTGATTGATCCATGTATGTATCGGAAGATTTGGTTTGCCTGGAAAATCTTCCGTGTTTTAAACTACTGCTCATTTCATGCTGTCCAAATTCAGCATGAAATCACCCAATAAAACTGTTTTATTCCATACCTATGGATTTTCTGCTTCTATTCTCATTAGACATTCGATGTTCCTGAAAAAGTGTACAGTTGGCAAATGTACGGTAGTTTGAACATCTTTTGTGTGCTGCTTGCGCGAGAAACTGGTTACACCAAATTTCCTTTTTTTTGTCTGTTTTAGTCGAGACCTAAAATCACTGCTTAATGGAGAGTTAAGAGCAGATAACGCTTAAGGTTAGACGAAACAATGTTTTACAAGAAGACTTGGTGGTAAACATAAAAATTCACCTTCCTACCCTTAATGTTAAACTAGGACTTTGAAACACTTTATCAAATCTCTCCCAAGAGACAAAGAATGTTTCAAATTGAAGGAAGGTCTATTTGTTGGGCCAGATACCAGAAGACTTCTAGCAAACCTAGAGCTTGTGAACACTATAACAGATCTTCAGAGAAAGAGGTTTTCTAATAACAAAATAAAAGGGGTTTACGAATAGTAGACCAAGCTATTGCTAAGCCGGCTCAAAAATTCTGATACTACTCAACGGTAGCTTGTGTGAATCATTCAAGTTGACTTCTCTAAAACGTCTACCATAGACTGGACCATAGATCCATAGATCAGGATTTATCTGAGAACAGAAACACTTCGATTCATTTTTATTCGAACGGTGGTAAAATTGACTATATTGAATTTTCCGTTGGTGTAGAACCTTTCTGGTTAATGTAGGTACCACCATAATCTTCGTCATTTTAAACCACATGCTTCCAAGAATTGTTTAATTGTTTGTTTTATGTGCTCTTCTAATCCTTTGAACCTGCTGAATAGCTACTTGATAAGATCTTGTAAACTTTGCAACACTAAAAATCGTTCGTATCAATATTAGATGTTATTAATACTGCTTGTTTTCAGGTAGAACGCCAAAGTCTTTCTTCTCAACAAATGAGAAAAGCAATTCCAACAATCCCTTGTGGTCAGTTGCAGATGCCTATGATAGGGTTAGGTACTTGGCAAGTAAGTACAGTGTATTTATTTATTTTTAGAGGTTTCTTGTGGATACAATAGGTTTAATAGGATTTTCTGAATACATAAAATGTTTAAACGGCAGCTGCTAAGCAGAACATTAAACATCAAAGTTAACAAAATAATGCTAAGGTCTTCTTCTTCTTCTTCTTCTTATATAGACATGACTCTGTTTTTCAATGTGCCTCCAGGTAGTTGTCATTCCATCGTTTTCGTGGACTTTCTACTGATCGTCTTCCTATTGGGGAATCGTCTCTTATCGTCTTTACTACTATGTTTGTTGTCATTCGGCTTATCTGATCGTCCCATTCTACTCTTCTATTTCTCTCCCAGTTCTTGATGTTCTCCACCTTGCATCTACGTCGTATATCTGTACTTCTAGCTCTGTCCCATAGTGTCTTACCAACAATTTTTGTAAGTGTTTTCATCTCTGCTCTTTCAACATCCTTTTTATCCTCCCTGTGTCAAGTTTTGTTTCTGCTGCGTATGGCATTATTGGTCTGATGATTATTTGTAAATTCTGCCTTTCGTTTCTTTCCCGATATTTTTATTTCTTCATATTGTTTCATTCAGACAGCCTGCGGCTCTGTTTGCTCTTTTCACTTGATCTTCCACATCAGTTTCGAGTTTCCCGTAGCAAGATAATGTGATGCCTAGATATATAAACTCCATCGCTTGTTCTATTATCTGACCTTCTAGATAAAATTTACACCTTCGTAAATTTGTTTCTGTAACCACGCATTTTGTCTTTTTTGGGGAAATTAACATGTTAAATTTTCTGGTGGTTATATTAAATTTGTGCAGCATACGTTGTAAATCATCTTCACTTTGAGAGAGTAGTATTGCGTCGCCTGCATAGCAGATTATTTTAAGTTGTTTTTCTCCCATTTGGTATCCTTTTTTAGTTCTTACTTTTTTATTATTTCATCCAAAACCAGGTTGCATAATAGAAGACTCAGATAATCTCCCTGTCTTATCCCATTTCCAGCTTCAATAGCCAATTCAATAGTCAATTTGACCTGATCAAATGTCCTCTTAAGGTCCACAAAACATAGATATGCCGGTTTGTTGTATTCTAACGATTTCTCTTGCACTTGCCTCATTAGAAATATAGCGTCGGTCCATGATCTTTCCGACCTAAAACCTTGTTGCTCTTCTGCTAGTATTATAATTTCATTCAGTTTATTTGTTTTTTTTTATAACATTGGTTGTTAATTTTAGTGTTGTGTTTAATAAATTAATTCCTCTGTAATTTTCCTGGCCTAATTTGTCTCCCTTTTTAAATAGATGTATTGAGATGCTGGATCTTCATTGTTGAGGAATTCTGTTTTGTTCTATTATTTTTAGATTAGTTTTAATAGTTGTTTTTTCAGATCTGGTCCTCTGCACTTTAGGAGTTCGTTCGGTATTCTATCCCCTTTCTTTGATTTTCTATTTTTTAATTTCCTTAATGCTTTCTTTACCTCTTCCTCCTTAATATTTGGACGGCCTCAGTGCAAAAGGTAACATGTCAAATTACGTGGTTTTGAGGAAACGAAAAAAACGATTCTTGGGCTTTTTTTTGAATAATTTTTTTCATATTTTTTCAGAAAACGATACAAAATAGTGGTTATTATTGAACTTTAAAAAATTTTATAGCTGAACTTTCAATTTAGTTAAATTTCTTGACTTGTTACAAAATGCACAATATTTTCATTACTTGTTACCAATTACACAGACTTACTCAGGTACTATTTCTTTTTTTAGCAGCTTCAGGGCCCAAAAATACATTAAATTTATTACAAAAACTTTATTAATAAAAAAGGTATATCTAACGTGTATGTATTATTATAAAAAATGGTAAATAAAAAAATGCTAGTCCTCTTCGTCACTTATTAAAGGATCGAGCAAAACACCTTGGGCTGGTAGATCTTGATAAAATTTATGATACACCGGCAAGAGGTACAGAAATACTGACAAAATGTCTCTTTTTTTTTCAATGATAGTGGAGGTGGTTGTTGGTAAGCCTGTTTTTTTTTGTAAATGATAATTCTGTTTTCAACAGGTTTTTGACCTGTGCATGAGTCACTGTACAAAACGACATGTGAATTTTTTTTTCTATTTGGTGAAGTCATAAATATAATTTGCCATAAATAGTTACACTTCTTGTTTATATTTACTGTAAACTTCCTCCGGTGTGTAGTGAGGTGGCAAATATTTTTTAGTAGTCTCTTTACGACAGTAATAACTCTTATATGCTGGAAGAGATGCAAGGTGCTAATGCACCAAAGCCATTCTGTCTTTGGATATTTTATTTCCAAGGATGTGCTTGCCTCGTTCATCTGGGATGGTTGTTGAAGGATGGAAAGCCTTTTTTGTTGGACAATGGTCCATACAAACTTTACTGTCTCGCCAAATATTGTGAGAAAACAGCTCTTACAAACATCGATCCTTTGGCCCTGAATCGGAATATTGTAATGAACTAATGCTGTTCTTTTCTACTGGGTTTTAGACGTATTTTGTCGCGTCCTTTAACCCTGGTTCAGATTATCATCTTTACTTAAGAGACCATACAGATAGGCTGCCCTTCGGTAACGTGTCTTTAAATTCCAATAGGCAGTGAAAATATTTTTTTTGATTTTCAAGTGAAATTTTCCCACTGCACTTTTTTCTGCAAGAAGGCAGTGGTAGCTAAATTCGGCCCAGCAACGTTCATACCTTGCCCCGTAAAATACACTAATCCTTGATTTCGGGATAACTTTCTTTTTTCTCTTTCTTCTCTAGTATCACCTTTTGAGTCTCTCTTTTTAACTTTTTCTTGGGGTTGATTTTCCTCTACATTTATTACATCATTGACGATCTGAGGAAAAAAGACTTAAGCACAAAAGTCACCTCCAACAATACGTAACCTTTGCATTGCACCAAGCACATGTAGCACACTCTCACAAAGGTTCAATTAATCTTTGCACATGTCATTGAGGACAGGGTTGCCAGAGTAGTAGTGTCTTAAACAAGGACGGACAAAAGATACCAAACCAAACCAAAATGTACTGTTACTAACTGGAAACATGACATCCAGGCAGTGTTTGGTGAATTCAAATACTGTAAAGGAGGTAACAAGTCCACTTATTTCCTTTTGCACAAATGAAGTTTTTCATATTATTTAACTTATTACGTTCTACACGTAAAAAAATATAGCCTTTCAGTGGTAGTAGACTTGTTTCTTTTTGCACAGAGTTAGGCATTGGTAACCTTTTGCACTGAGGCCGTCCATTTATTTCTTTGTTTGGTGTCACCTCTGGTGTTGGTGGTTCATTATTGTAACCTTTAACAAATAGAGATCGAAAGTAATCTACCCATATTTCCTTCTAAATGTGTTTCGTTTTAATTAGTTCGTTCATCTCTTTTCTTTGTCCTCTGATCATTCTCCATATTTCTTTTTGTGTTCCGTAGAAGTCATATTCCATCTGTTTTGAGAAGCTCTGCCAGTGTTCCCTTTTATCTAACTAAAGTATTCGTTTCATTTCTGATTCGTTTATAGTGGTTGTATGCCTGTTGTGTTTGTTGTAGGTATTTGTCTTCACTTCCTTTCTAAACTATAGTGTTTTCTTTTTTGATATGTTAGTGTTCGTTATATCAGGCTGCTACAGGGCTGCTACAAATAAGATTAAATGGTCAAATGTAATGGCCAACGTCCTTAAGGATAAGGTACCGTAAGAAGAGTGTTCGTTACTTTCCTCCCTCCAAGTGATTATGTTGCTGCGTTAATTATGTTATTTTTGAGTTTTTCACAGCTTTCCTCGATGTTATCGTTTTATAATTCATTCCCAGCGATCTTTTCTAACATTATTTTCCTATATAAGTATTCCGTAGATTCCGCATTTAGTCCTTAGACTTTGATTTTTGTTTGTGTTGGCGCCGCTCTCTTGGGTGGTATTTCAGGATGATTCTTATTTTACATAACACTAGGCCATGATCGCTACCTACATCTGCTGAGTTTAAGCATCTTACATCGATTATTTTCGATTCATGTATATCTCTGTTGGTTATAACATAATCTATCATAGACCTTTGTCCACGGGTGTTATTAAATGAAGAAGAAGAAGATCTTGGAGCTCTGTGGAGCAGAAGATTGGAATTTTATAAGAAATCAAATACGAATATAGTAGAGGAATACTGTTGGACAGTTCAGGGGCTAAAAGATATAGTATTCCTACATTTATTGCAGACTTAACAGGTTAATCTTTGTCAGCAGTTTTGACGCTTAATATTCCGTCTAAAGGTATACTCTTTACAAATACTTTTTGACAAGATTATAAACAATGACTTTTATGATTAAATTTACTTGCTAGTGTATGAATGTCATTGTTGATGAATCTTATATAAATTATATATTTTTAGGCTACTGACCCCGCAGAATTTGAAGCTGCTTTGAACCTAGCCTTTGACATAGGTTACCGTCATATTGATACAGCAGCATTTTATGAAAACGAACATATTATTGGCAAAATTATAAATCAGTGGATCTGTTCCGAAAAGCTAAAAAGAGATGATCTTTTTATCGTTACCAAACTTCCAATCCAAGGAATCCATCGTGATAGAGTCGAAAAATATTTATGTCAGTCTCTGCAAAAACTTGGTCTACAATGCCTTGATTTATATCTGATACATTTTCCATATGGAAAGACTGAATCTACTAAAGAATTAGTATATGAAAAGGAAGATCACAAAGGAATATGGCAGGTATATTGTAACAGTATTATTTAATACTTTTTATACTTTATTCAAGTGTAGAGAATGTTCCGATGAAGTTAGCTATAAAGAAACTTCAGTAAAACACAAATTTGCGTTGACGGTATTGCCATATTCAAATATGTTTTGAAACAGTACACTTTTATTATATTATTTTATGAAATCTGGTATTTTTTAATTTTTATAAAACACCAACGTAGATTAGCGGATAAATTTGGGAATAATGTTATAACCTTCAAAACACTATGTTTCAGATTGCAAGTTCTGACATTTGATGGACATTCTCCATCCACCTCAACAAGCTCCTTTCTTTTGTCACACAAAACTGTATTAGGATGTGGCGATTCACATTCATTTAGTTCATTCATTATTTTTATGAGAATTTTCTTGACGATTTCTATTCGATCTCTACTTGGATCTTGACTGAAAATAATGATTGCTGTGGATATGACTCGGGCATAGCAACTAACAATTGTGTAACAGTTTCGTGTTCTTCAATTTTTCCACCACTATTTTTCAGATCTGTCACTGTGTTTTCAAAAATCCTTAAAAAATCTGGTAATTTTCCACTAGCATACCTCATATTTCTTAATTTACGTTGAATTTCAACTTGAACAGACAGACCTTTTTTCAAATACTTATGTGCCTTTTAAAGTATTGAACATATTTCTGGCGACTGGCTGTCTTTTTATCTTTTACGATCAGTATCACATTATCCGCTAAGCATTGTACTATATTATATGATTCCTTGCTTTAACATCATTCTTTTTTAAGGTGTCATCAATTATGTCTTTTTGTAAAATAGCCAGCGAATAATTTTGTTCCAACATTAATTCCACGCGCAACTTCCAATTTGAAAAACGTGTACCATCAAATTGTTTAAAATTTGCTACCTGTAGATTGACCGCCATTACTCCCTTTGTTTTGACCACGTTCACGTTTTCAGAGTTCCAAAATTCTAAGATCCAAATTCCTGTTTACCCTTCGAATCACAAACTATTCCATTACTGGCACATAACTGAGCCCATAAAGTGAAGTCATTACTGTATTCGAAGCAGTAAAACGAACAATATTTCACTATTTATTGAATACTTTTAATAACAAGAATCTTGATAGCCAACGGCCATTACAATACAATAACAAGCAACAACAAGTGAACTCTATTGACTTATTTTATACATATAATCTAATCTAATACATATTTAATACACATGACATATCGACCCTCTCAACGAAAACTGTCATAACCCTTTTTTTTTAATTTTGAGTTATTAAAATAAACAGTTTTAAATTTTGAGTTAATACCATAAACAGATTTAATGATACCGAAATTTCTTCCAGAGAATACAACATTATAACACAATATACATTAATGTAAATGTAAAATCTCAATCTTGTAGCATCTCAATCCTCTCTGTACTTTACCGCTAAGAGTGTATGGAGTTATTATAGTATTCGCTGTAAATTTGTGAGAAGGGGCCTTAGATTAAAGAAACTCTGGTTTCTTTATTAAGTCTTATCTTCGTCTATTAAGTTTATGTAAAGCCAACTTGATGCCAGCAATGTACCATGGGTTTTATAACTCCCTGCGGTCTGCTAGTAAAGACATTCTACCAGAGTGCTCTTTAGATCAAGAAACCGGTTCCGAATCTGAACAATAACAGTGTATTGTACTGAGCAATTAGTCATTATTTATTATTGTTATAATTAGTGTCATAATGTCATTATAAACAAATTGCTAAAAATGAAATATTTGTTAATTTTATTTGTTTTATTATCGTAGTATGTTTTTATAAATGACATTTTTGTCGACGAAGATTGTAGTGACTCATTTAAAATCCAAAATCGAATATCTTTATGAAATTTATATTCGTTTGCAATAATTCTGATTGCACAAATAATTAATAAGGGAAAAAATGAAAAACTTAGTAGTCATAATTAAAAAATTACAGAACGTAATTTTTTACAATTATCTCAAACATTTTGATTATCTCAAATATTTTAAACAAAACACTAGTGGTCAGCTTGAAGATAATAACAAAGTAAAAATATATATTTTATTAAAATCATTACAGCAGAATTTAACTTACTATTCATTTTCTAACTTATTTATAGTGATTTATATATTATCATTCTCGTTATTTTACCATTTTATGTTTTCCATGTTTAATTAAATTAATTAATATTATATCGCACACTCTTTCGCAACTTATTATAAAGAAATGGCAATACTTTTACTTTCTTGATTTGACAGGCAATGGAAAGACAAGTAGAAGCCGGTAGAACCAAAACTATTGGCCTAAGTAATTTTAGTATTAGTCAAATTGACAATATATTAAAATTCTGTAAGATTAAACCAGCCAATCACCAAATAGAGGTTCACGTTTTCTTACAACAACCAGACTTGGTGCAGTTCTGCCAAAAGAACGGAATTGGCGTAACGGCGTACTCCCCGCTTGGATCTCCCCATTTTAACAAATTTTTGAAGCATATAGGCATGAAGTAAGTTAACATTTAAAAGTTCAAAGGAGTTTGTTATCAATTTACTAGATTCAGTTTGATATGTGCGTTTTATCTGCAATATATCTTAACTATAGAGTTTGAAATCTGTCTGGCTAGGACAGATACAGAAAGCAATTATCATTGTGAAAACATCTGTTTTTAATTATCAGTTTTGTGCTCTTGTCAATATTAACTCCCCCCTTCTCAGAGGGAGTGTACGAAGTTTTAATAAGTTTATATTTTAAAATACATTTTCTCTCAACATCAGATTCTTTAGATTCTGTTCCAGTTGGTATTGCTTTCCGGTTATTGGTCTTCACTGTAAAATTTATTGAAACAGTTCTCTATCGGCTGCTGCGCAAAATAATTCTTCTACTGTTGGTGAAAGTTTAGTAATATAAGTATTAGATGAAACAAACATAAATATTCTTTCGGAATTCACAGCTATTTTGTAAGAGAACGCCATAGAAAATAGTACCTCCCTAGATGCTAGACTATTTCTAAACCCAAACTACCTATTTCTTAGAGCGAAATCTTTGCGAAAATTTTCAAACACGATTATTTCAGTTCAACCAAATCTAACTATGACAGTAAAATTATCTTGTAGTTGGTCTTACATTTAGTTTTCTGTCAATATATGACATATTACTTTAATTTTATGTCTGTGTAATTTATTTTTTTATAATTTTAGAGAAAGGAACTTGGTCAACGTACTAACAAATCCAGTGGTTGGGGAAATTGCCAAAAAACACTGCAAAAGTAACGCCCAAGTAGCATTAAGATTCTTGATACAAAGAAATCTGGCTGTTATTCCAAAAAGTACGACACCTGCAAGATTAAAATCCAATTTCGATTTGTTCGATTTCTGTTTAACCGATCAAGAAATGAAAAAAATTGAAACTCTCGATATTGGAGAAGAAGCACGAATTTGTGACTGGATGTTCTTTCCAAAGTACGTATTATGTTTTCTGCTTGATATTAAATAGATCATATTTTTGCACAACAAAGTCTAGGTTGATTGATCATTATAGTTTATTTTTCCTGCGGCTAAGTTTTAAAAAAGTGGTGAGAATTTTTTGGAAGTTATGCCTAATCTAACGAACCAATGGCATTCAGTGGCATAAGTAATAATGTGTTTGAAGAATTTAAAAAATATTTTTTTTGCAGAATTGATGAGCACCCAGCATACCCATTCCGTAAAAAATGTTAAAATCAATTTTTTTTAATTTTCAATAAAAATTTATAAGCCAGTCATGGGGTTTGTGCTGGCTTGATAAGAATAATGAAGCAATTTATCCAAATTTTTGTACCAAATTGTAATTTATTATTGTCTACTAACATCGCAGCAAAATGTTTGTGTAAAGTGAATTTTGAATAAATATTTGTACGCATAGTTTTTGTTTTCTTTAATTATAACTTAAATTTAAACGAAGTTAGTTTGTAATAGTATACCTACGTATTGTTTTTTTTTTGCCAACCCCAACCCACACACCAGTACGCCACATACACTACATACACACAAACCACCTCGATAAGATCACAAAATCCAAACAAATACCGCATAGAACAAATTCCATCCAGCATTTTCCACTAAAAATTTGACACCATATTAAAATCCAAAGATTTCCTGTCCAACAATACCATCATCCCGTCCCAATATCATTATTAACAAATGTTCATCTTGTGATAACAGGACTGAACCAAGAACTATGCAAAAAGACATCGACTACAACTTTCCAATAATATACTAATCCATTTTTTTTCAGACTTGGGAGCTAACGTTCGCTGACAAGTGTTATTAGGCTTAAAGGTGAGATTTTACATGCAAAATTTTTAAATCGAACAATGTCATCCCGCTACGCTCAAAATACTGCTCGAGATGCTGTCAAAACAGGCATCATAGGAAAAACAGGCATCAGGAAGCTCAGATAATTCTTATAATTTATCCAACATCTCAGCAAATTTCACAAACCATTAACGTTTTTATTTGACTAAATCAATTTTTTGTCAAAACCTTTATCTTTATACAACACTAAAAACCTTGGGTTTTTGTTTTTCTCACTATCTTTTTTCATCCAAAACGAAAACGTATTTTTATCCATCTCACAATCTCGATAATTTCTACATACTGGAAAATTCCTAAAGAAGTCATATGGAAAGATTAGAAGTCAGAGGGGACTAGAAGATTTATTCAGTTTTTATTGGTTTGTTTTTTTTGTGTTTATATTCACCAGGATTTTGGGATTCACTTTAACAGTTGGGATTGAAATAGTTGAGAACTCGTTTAGTGCCGTATATTCAGAGGCTTGGAACCAGTGAAATATTACTCTTTATTTTTGATGAATTTTCATATTTTAAATTGTAGTAACTAACTTTCTCTTCAAGGCATTAATATTCTTTTTAATAATAATTAACTAATTTCACCTAGTAATCATTTACTATAGATTTAACTATTATACATTTAAATATTTATAAGTGATACTGTAATACCCCAATAAAATCCCATCAACATCGCGACCATCAACTTCCGTAGATCCACAGCCAAGCAGCTCGAGCGTTAGTCAAAAGTCAAAACATCCACTTCCTGCAGTGCGTTATGACGGTCAAGACCTTTCCCAATCTGGCTCGGCATAGAAGGTGCAAAGAGATGGTGCAAATTGTACAAGAAGTCACAAAATCAGCGGCGGCCGGCCAAGTTAAAGGTGAAGGTGAGGTTCACCAAAAAAATATAATTAAATTGAGACAAATAAATAAAAAATAAAAGCAAAATTAATATATCTAAATTCTGAAATCAATTATGTATTCACTCTTAATTAATCTAAAAATTAAAAAAAGACAACTAGCTTTATTAACGGTGCGGTAGGTACTTGACGGTCAAGTCCTGACCTGTGTCACTTGCTGTGTATGATTCAGATTCAGGAATAGGTGAATATCATTTTTTAAATGCGAAATCCATCTGCATAAGCGTTCACGGTTGCCATGGCAACGTGACGTCTTTTATTATATTATTGCCATTTATTATATTATTATTTTATCCCTTAATAAACAACATTTTTTATTGATAATTCTCGTTTATTATTGTTTTGTATACGTGCTCTTATATTCGGCCTAAACCGTCATGCGGGCCCTGAGAACCTAGAAACCTGGGTACCTGACATACCTGGAAACGAGCAAGCCACCTCTGGATGATTTTTTTAGGGGTTTTACACGCTAATTATACTAGAAAAAAATTGTCATTAATTTTTTTTACGTTGAGAGTTTTGAGCTTTGACTGTTAGAGGGTTAAGTGAAACATTTTGAAATTTGTAGAGTTAAATGTTTGTAATAATATTGTCCTTACTCTAAAGAAAAATCAAAGTTTTTAGTGCATTTTTAGAAAAGTTAGTACCTAATAATTTTCAAAAAATCAACTATAAAGCTATTTTTGCAATAATCAAAATTTTGTTCAAAATCATTTAATTTTGTCTCTATACCTTGGACTAAATTATTTCTTCGTTTATAGAGAAAAGGTTATTTTTAGGTATAAAGATTTAGTATATAGGTAACTATATATGTATTTGTATCTTATCAGAAATATATTTACTGTAAACAAACAACTTGAATATATTTCTGTCTAATAATCTATAAACATAACATAAGTAACATTTCATGTAATCATTGCTGTCCCATCAGCTCAAAAAACATGCCACAACGACATTTGAATGAAATTCTGACCGTCGAAAACCTTTACTTCTGTATACAAATCCCCTCGGAGAGATTTGGTCTTCTCTCCTCCAAAAAATTTCGCATCTCAAGAAACAAGATTCATTCGAACCATAACCATAATATCCATTGGGCTTATGGGTCTATGGGAAGAAAGGCTACAAGTCAGATCTCTAAAAATTATGTACGATGTCATGAAGATTTTAGAGAATCGAGAGATTGCTGTATTTTAACTTTATTAGCGAGTTCAGCTCCTGCATTAGAAAAATATTTATTAAAATTATTGCTAATGTTCCAGCTATCAGTAATTAATTCGTTGTTTCAACTTAAGGTACATTTGAAGAGTGAAAATACTTCTTTTTTGCTTTTATAGTTAGTTTATTTAATTTAGTTTTGTATACTGTATATTCCTCTTTAAATATTTGATTATCTGATTATTTATATGTTTTGTGTGAAGTTTATTTTGTTATTAACTCTTTTATTAAACCGTCCACCATCCAACTATTCGTTTTAACTTCACATCTATTTTTTTTAGTATTTTATTATGTTTTCTATGCCGTTTGCTTAGATCATCGTTGTCCCATCTTTGTCAGGGAACGGTCTCGACGTCTCATTGGTAACCTATCGCAAACGATTCTTACCATACTTCTTTTTTCTATTCTGTAAATGTTTCACAATATCAACCATTCCTTGGTATCTACCGAAGTTGAGTATACTGAAAGTACAAGCTGATTATAGCCGCAAATATCAAACATGGAACAACAAATTTCGGTATAGCAGTGCTGGCATGTTTTTAGAATGTAGATGATGTATACTTCAAATATAAAAAGATAAAGCTTTAGAAAAGTACATTTTGTTTATATTGTGTTATGAATTCTGCAATTTTTGATTTATATAAAACAACAATCAGTAAGTAATTGTTTCTTTGGAAATTATTTACAGTTAATTAATAGACATTTTTTTAGCAGTACCCTGTGCAGTTGATAGATTAGGGGATAGATTTGGCAATCGTCAAATCAACAGTTGCCAGATTACAAAAGATGTTTGCAATTAATCTCGAAAGAGACAAATATCTACTCATTATTACTTCATATATAATAAAAATTGCAGAATTCATAAAATAGTATAATCAAAATGTACTTTTTAAAAGCTTTAACTCTTTATATTTGAAGCATTCAACATATGCATTATAAAACATGCCAACACTGCCACACCCAAATATTTGTGACATTTGCGGTTATATTCAGCTTGAACTTTCGGTAAACTCAACCACCGCGAAAGTATTATTTGGCCTAGAAGTTGAAGGCTGTACATTTTCCTGCTTTTTTATGAAAAAGTCCAGCTGATGTATTTCCAATCTGGTTCTACCACAATTCTTAATAGATTACGGTACTAGTTTCCTTTAGGGAGCATTTCCTGTAGGTACAACCTTTAGTAAGATCCTTAACATCTTCACACAAATATAGAGTACTCTTTTCATTTTGGTATACTCGAAATATGTTCTGTAGTGAGCGTTTCCTAGGATTTGTAAGGTATGACTAATAAAAAGCTTCAACTATTTTTATTTTAGATCATTTATTTAATACTGGAGAACAAAAAAAAACAAAATGTATTAAAAATGGTAACAATATAGAATATACGGTAAATATAATAAAGTAACAACATTAAAACTCTAATTGTACAGATATACAGCCAGGATAAAGTGAATATCGTGACACCATTGCATTAGCAACAAAAAATTTAGGTAGCACTTAAATTTTTCTTTCTGTCATAAATGTATCGCTCTTAGAAAGCCTGAATAAATATTGTCTCTGTGATGGAACAATAATGGGATTAAGAACAAAATAATTGCACCTTATATGTGTGCAATATATAGTTCGTTTAAGAGTTTTTAGGTGCTTTGACCTCTAGGAACATTTTAGAACTAGAATAGAATTTTATGAAATTTTAGAATAGACATTTGACCTATAACCTTTGTAGGATAATTTTTTTGCTATGAAAAAAATCTTAAGCCTTTTTAAGGCAGAATTTTAATCCAGCATGTACCGAGGTAAACCTGATTAGATGAAAGTTGCAGTGTTGCAATATCGCCACGCAATACTGCGCATTATTTTCTACGAAAAACGAATATGACACACAGAAAAATTTATGCACTGAGTTAATTTACTATAAACTATGTGTTATGGCTATAATAAATTCGAAGTTCTATAATTTGATTAGGTTATTCAAGATATTCGCAAATAATGATTTTATACCTGTCTGAATGTATAAAAGCATTTACTAGTAAAAAATATTACATAAAAACAAAGTACGGCAACTAAATGAAAGTTTATTGGGTATGAATATCACTATGTCTTTTATATATAAAGTTGTCTAGTACATTAAGTAAAAAAAACAAAATTTGTGTTTTTAGACAAAGATGTACCATGACAAATCAAATTTTCCTATAGAATTAGTAAACAAAACAATTAGGAACAAAAACATGTAGTAATATGTTTTTTACAGGTCTTAGGTAAGTTGACACGATGTAAGTCGTTTGGAAAGAGTGCATTACACGCATCACTAGAAGCGCGCATCAGATGCTACACTCGCACATTCATGCAAAGTAATACGCACGCAGTGACGCGAAGTTAGAAGCAATTCTCCCAATTTTATTACAGCGCACGGTTAAAAAAGTGTTATTTTCGAAGATTTCTTTTATTATTCACAATCTTCAAATGTCTAATCACCGTAGCTATAGTATTAAATTACAAATCTTACGTTTATGTAAACATCGGTCCACCGAAACAACATTTTTGCATAAGTAATAATAAAAATTATATATAAGTTAAACAATTACTAGCACGTTACTTTGAAATGGGTAAAAATGAAAAATCTAGCCGGATGAATATTTTTAACTGAAAATCGTCGATTTGGAGTATCTTTACTGATCGTTTTAGTATGTTCTATGGCAAGAAAATCATCTAAACACGTTTCACGAACAGCTAATTTTCTATGTAAAGTATCCTGTTACTCCCTTAAAGACTTCTTGACTCCGTATATATTATTATATACAAAATATAATACCATAAACTAAAGGGACGGAAAAATATTTTGTGACTAGACATGCATACATGAAAGGGAATTTTTAGAGACCGGCAATTTTAAATTTTAAAGATTATTTCACATATTAGTAAAATATAAACGTGCAGGAGAATCCTGCACATGTATTTTTCCACAACGTACTGTTGATTCCTAAACGTTAATCAGTTTTTCTTTATCTATTCAACTTTTAATTGGACTAATCCCGAAAAACGGACTGGCAAAAACTTAAGCAATTTTCATTTTAACCAATCAGTTGGTAGGTGCAGGAGAGGCACATGTGGACAGAGGCACAAGTGGACAGTTCACTCTTTCTAACTCACTCTCCTAGGTGACACCGGTGATATAGTTCTATGCCAAGAAATAAATTCAATGTAAGTTGCCATTTGTTTGTATCACGAGGTTGTGTTACTTTTGCCTCGTAAAAGTAAATAAACAGTTTTTAGAGATTATAATATCATTTAGTGACATTCTGTGTTTTCTTGTAAGGTGTATCGTATTTTGAATATTGTCATATTTGATATCAGGTAAGTCTCTACAGTTTTCTTCTAGTCATAACCTAAAAACAGATATCCGGTACTTTTGAAAAACTATGCATACTGCATGATACTAGGATAACAGATAGGATCTTCCCGTAGTACAAAATCGGTCGTGTTCGCGCATGCCGTCATTGGAGAGTAGAATTTGAATTCTTGTTAAAGTTAAATGGGATTTATATGCATTCTGTGATGCATATTAAATTAGACGAAAATAAGTTAAGAGGTTTAATGATTATAATAATCGTATACATAAGGATATCTCCAAACTATTTATTAAAGATTATTTATTGATACATACAAAAAACTGACATTTCGAACGTGTAACTCTCCAATGACGTCAGGACTTATGCGCAATATATTATCTTCTTAGTCATAGTATCATGGCAAACTGGACTGGGAAAAAAAAGAAACTAATCCTTATTCCATTAAGCGATGCAGGGCATATAAACAACGATAAATTTAACAGATAATTGTTAAAGGTGTTCCAAATGAGTCTACTCGTTCCGATAAGTAACAGTATAATTATAACACTTTATTATTTTTTTTTTCTTTTCTCAAATATTCGTGTTTATTGCATAATAAATAAATTAATGTTTTCACTGAATACATAGTAAGTGAAAAAATAATCCGATTTATAAAATTAATGAATATTTTATGCATAAATGCAAGTAACAGTTCTTCAAAAATATTTAAAAACTAACCGAAATGTCCATCTTTATTTCGTCTGGCGACCGGTTCGGACACGATTCAATGTTTACATTTTCCTGCATCGCTTATTGAATTTTACTATAGAAGAGTCAGGATTTTTAGTAAATTTTTTAAAATTGACGCCGCGACAAGATTTTGTATTTCCAGATCAGAAGAATGAGAGTTATATTTCTGCAAACGATATGAGAAAATTGCCAGCTCCTGAAAAAAAATTGGGACACCATGATCCAGCTCCTTTTTTCGGTTTTCCGTTAATTTTCATGGGTATAATATGGGATAATTCAATGTATTATGTTAAATAAATATTAAAAATTGCCCTTATAAAAACATGTTATTATTTTATTTCCATCAAAACCCGTATCCATATGTGCCCCGTAGAAAATACTGTCTTGTCCACAAGTGCCTCCCTCAGGGGCACATGTGGACTAATTACATCTAAATAATTTAGTTACCGCCAAATTTAAATGTACACAAAGACTCACAAATATGTGAATCTTTCATTGAAGAAGCCGATACTTTACAATAAATCTCATTTTGCGGTATAATTTTTTTTTAATTTTTCCACATGTGCCCCCTCACCCCTACGTTGGTGATACACGGCGTGTTGAATAGTGTAAGATTAGTCCTGTTGGCAGTTTGATTCTGCACAGGGCAATAGCAGCAGGTTATTGTTTGAGCAGATCGAAATTTTTAAATAAAATTGTTTTTGATGTATGTAATTTTTGTTTAATTTCTACATCCCCCCCCCAAATATAAACTTTCACAATTTATATTTGTTGAGGAGTTACTTTTGTATGCTGGTAATTCCATATGAATAAAAGAATTTGCAATTAGATAAAGCTTCCTCACTTATACGACTGATTTTTGCAGACCATATCAATGAAAACGAATAAGAGATCCAAACAGCAGGATACACCGTTTCAAAATCCCTTTTGTGTGTACCTATTGACTATTTCACTATGTGGTACTTCTTTATCAATCACAAACCATTACGAAAAACTGAATTTGTTTATCTACGACATTTTTTATAATTTAAAACGTAAAATTAATAACACAAATAACAAAAATATTTTTTCTAACAGGATTAACACCTATTTATAATATCCGCCAATTCTTTTATGCTACTCATTTGTTCATACATGTACGCTTTGGTCTCCCAAAGCATTCGAACTAGTTTGTCGTCGGCTTTCTCGTCCATGGCGACGTCTTCAGTCATCTGTGGGCAGAATCGGAAGTAGGGAACGCCGATAGATGAGCACCACGCTCTGGCTCTGTCTACTACTCTGCCGTCACTGGAAGTAGCCTAAAAAATAAGAGCAACCATTAGGGTTGTGTAGATATTTATTAAAAAGAGTGTCCTTGAACTATTCATCTTCCGGGTTGGGACAACTCGACAATGTACAGTTGGTTCCTAAAAAAACTGATACTTAAAGCGAATTTTGTCGAAAATTGAGCAGTGTATTTTGAAGGATAAATACTTATTATTTACATACTGTTACTGTGTAGCATTTTTAAATTCTTTGGTATGTATTGAAATCACCTCGTCTGTATTAAAATACCGAAATATTCTTTCAATATTTTTGCATCGGTGGAGTCGATAATAAACACATTTTAGAGTTTTTTTTTATATATCACAGATGTGTATTTCCTCGGCATTCTTTTGGTCGAGAGCCACTTTTAGGATATTCTGCGTGTCAAATAAATAGAAATTTAACCGTATATGTTTTATTTTTAATTTTAAAGATAATTTCATCACTCTCGCTGGAGCCACTGTCAAAGGCAGTTGGTTTCGTGTTAATCCAAATTTTTCGTCAAATTTGTAATGTTTCTTCGTTCTTCGTCTTATGTTATGGAAAATAAGTATTGTGGCCGTTAACTGTGCAATAAGTGAAGTGAGGTTTGTAAGAGAAGTGATTGAGAACAAGCGCAGCGTGTTTAGTCGGAAAGAACCGGCAAATTTATTGTGAAAAAGTGATTTATACTCTATGTAATAAGTCAGTTCTGATAAGAGTAGTCATTGTTTTATTTTCTACGCCGTCTCTCATCTGAGAGATTTGTAAAACGGCGTTTTTCAACAAATTTGAAAGATACCCACATGTTCCATTGTTGAGATTTTAAGGAGACGATTTTCCAACGTTTGCGTCCCAGTTCCACCTTCCATTCTCAATTTGTTTGTCCCTGGTCGTCATTCCAGACTATAGATGTAGTTTTTTGCGTGGCAGTGAATTTCCAGTTCCACCCCCAGAAATTTTAAAGAAAGAAATTTTAGTAAAATCCAGATAACTTTTTTTGTTGAACTTTTAAAGGAAAAATAATAATTTTCTAATAATAATTGCTTTCATAACAGTTTAAGAAATTGTAAAATTGTAGATGTAAGGGTGTGGCTAAGCTGTTATATTAATTATTCCCAAAGTTTTGAGCTTTAGTATTGACATATGACAGCACTATTTCTTGTCAGTTGATAAATACCTAATCATAAATTGAGATCTTTGTTTTTGTTTTTTTTAAAGGTTAACCTCTATGCAAGTTTTATTTAAAAACTATTTTTCATTTCTAATTTTTTCCGTTACAAATTGTCACCCATTAACAATTGGAAGTTCTTGTAGTACCTCAAACTTCTAGAGTTTGTAAACTGACAGTAACATAGTAAGTTTGTTTTTTGTATTTTATTATTACTATTTATATTTGTAACTGTTTGTGGTGAGACAACAATAAATGTGTAATTTTTCCCTAAACCATTTTATTTATGTTAAAAAAGTTTCTAAACCATTTTTGTGTTTTTAGTAAGGAAGAGCCTTTAGCTTGAGAACCTTCTTGTGTTTTGTTTGTCTAGGAGACTCATGTAAGTATCCTTTTACTTTTTATTATTTTTATATTATTTATATATATTATTTATTTATATTTATATATATTATATTATAATTATATTATTTTTGTAGTTGCCCCAATCCAACCCCATCTTGTTATTTACTTATCCATGACCCCAGCTCTCCAAAGAAACCCTGAGTAGCCGTTCGCAACAGTTTCGTTTATTTTGCTTGCCCTATCTCAACCCCAATAATTTTTGTCCCAAATTTTCAACCATGTTAATACCCTTTGTGGTAAGCAAAATAATCGTTACAACTGTCACTGTCAAATGCCACCACCAAACTAAAAGTAAGAATTGTAACGAAATTAGAAGATCTACTTCACTATCTGCGTAATGAACCATTTTAACGCAAGCAGAACAACAGTTTTTAATGTCAATAAAAGATAGAGAGAACAATAAACTCTCGAAAGAAAGCAAGGATCTAAAAAGACCAAAAATATCTACCGCTCATGAAGATCGTACAATTAAAGCATTGCATCTTAGCTTACACCACAACGGAAGCAATCAAGACTTATATTTGCTTTAAACCATCAGCTGCAAAATTTTTAAATCTTCTAAAAAGGGCAAAATTGGGGTGCATAGACTAGATAATAATACATTTAATCCTCTATAAGTGGATAGATATCGAGCAGCTGGTCATTTTAGCGCCAATGTATGGGGATGGATTTCATCTAGAGTAGAGGAATGGGAATGGTATGACATATTTTTGGCAGGTTTGTTTGGCAGAAGTATCTGAATATTCTAGAAAACATCATGTTTCCCAGTGTAGAACAGTTGTATCCAGAAAATAATTTTATCCTCTAACAAGATAATTGTGCTGTTCAGACTGCAAATATAATAAACCAGTGGCTTATTATAAGTCACAACAAAAATTTAAAACAACAAAAATAACAACAAAAAAGAGGTTATATCTTTGTATGTGGGTATATTTAAAAAACCCTTAAAAGGGCTACATCGAATAATACAAACGTTTTCGGAATAATAATTCCATCATCAGGTTTAAAAAAGTGCAAGGTTCACATGCCTGAGCCACCAAAATATGAGGGTAAAAACACTTTAAAGGGTTTTTAAAATATACCCACATACAAAGATATAACCTCTTTTTTATGATACGTGGTATACAGCCAGCTACAGGAATTATTTTCCTTGTGGATTTTAAAAATAACAACATCGAAACCCTACCATAGCCCAGCTACAGTCCAGATTTAAACCCAATTGAGAATGTGTGGGAGAACATTATAAAACGGTTGTCTCAAAATACTGAAGAGCTGTGGAACGGTATACAACAGGTTTGGGAAAAGCTCTCTGAACAAGAAAATTTCATAGTTCCTTTCACATAGATGGACCGAAGACTACAAGCTGTTATGAATTCTGATGGAAATATTACAAAATATTAATTTTATTTTTACATTCCTAAATTTAGCATAGTTTTGGTCTTCCAGACCTCCGCTTTCTTTCATGAGTTTCTTGTTCCCTCCATTTTTTATTAATAGAAAAACTGTGGTTCTGCTTATGTTAAAATGTTTTGCTGCCTCTGATAGTGCCCAGTTATCTTTTAATTTGGTTACAATTCTTGCTTTAATATATTGTTTGTTTGTTTGCTTTAATTTAACTGTCATAATAAATATAATATAATGTCAGACCAATCAAATACACTGCTCAAAATAATCAAATCTTACTAAGAGTCGTATCAGTTTTTTTGAGAACCAGCTTGCAAAACCCATTTTTATATTAAAAAAATATCGTTATCCAACTCTTATACACTCGTAGTATAGTTTTCACTGTAGTGTTTTCACCGCAAATACATTTTTTTTATCATGCCCCCTATTCTAGATATTTTCATAAAACGCAGTCCACTTACCTGATCTACGAGCAAAGTTCCAAGAAACGATATACCAATCACTAACTTGGCGCTATCCCAAATGCTTTCTGGTTTGAAAACGTCTATACTCTTCACTTCAGTCACCGGAATCGAACCGGTACCGAGACTCACTACCACGTTCACTGGACTCGCTTCATTTTCTCGATTCTTCGCTTTCAGCGCCATGGTGTGCTCGTGAATTTCGGTCAAGGCATCTAGTGTTGGATTGTTAGCTATTAGGCCGCCGTCGAGAAATCTTCCGAATGCTCTAAACAACACAAAATATTAATCAATTTAACATTTTAATAAACAAAAAATTTAGGAGGGCATTTAAAAATTTGAGAATATTTAAATATTTTTTTAACTCCGCCTGTATAATAAATTGGCTGGATTTAGTTGTCAAATGTTCATGTTACCGGTCCCAAGGCTAGATAAAGGAGAAGGGTTCTGAAGTGGTAATGATTCTTAATAGTCCTGGTTCACAAAAATTAGACGACGAATCAAATAAGAATTTGAAAGAGACCAAAACTATCGCCATACTCTCCAGTGTGTATTAGCCAAGACAAAAAATAACAACGTCCAATAAAAGAATGAAATAACAAAAATAGCGGAATACCCAAACTACATTCTAGCATAGTCTGTGAAAAATAAGTCAGCATCAACATATAAAACGTGGTTCCACAAAGAAAAATATAAAAATCACTGGCACAGTCTAATCAATAAAAATTGGATCATATGGCAAGTGATAGTGCATTTTAAATAGACCGTTAGTGAAAAGCAAAATTATTAAGAAGCATAGGCAGAGAGAAGGAAATGGAAAATACAATAAAAGAAAGGAAATTGCAATATCTCGGATATGTGATGAGAGGCGAAAGATACAACATCTTGAGACTCATAATTCAAGGAAAAATAGAGGGTCTGGAGAAGCGTAGAAAGAAGACGCGTTTCCTGGTTATTATCCTGGACTTGTAACTGTAACTTTAACATAATAATTTTTAATAACACATAATATAAACTAAATTTAAACAAACAATTTTTAACGGATTTTTACCCACATATTTAGTGGCTACATAAATGTATACCTAGACACTGACGATGGTATATGGATTCCGAAAACGTTTTGTGAGATAGCCCGATTTGGTTTTTGAATTATATACCTTTTATAAAGGATTTTTAATAAGATTTATATATTGTTATACTTAAACAATACCTGAAATACGTTGGGGCTGCTCCAGTTGCTCTACCGACTTCCCAAATATGCTGTTGATCTGGTGGATGAGGTAACTCGTAAGGATAGTCGTGTTCAACTTCCAAAATATCATTCGGGCTAGTATAAGATCTAAAACCAAGACGAGATAATATTGTTTTTACATTTATTTAAATATTAAAATGATGGCATGCCGTTAAAAAATTGTGGTTCAAAATTTGTCGGGTTAAAATAGTTTTATTGTTTTATTTTCTTTAACATTGTAGTGATCATTTGACATTAAGCTGTCCTACGATAGATGCTATTCCGTTAAACCAAACTGCTTTGAGTTTTGACATCTGCCATCCAATTTATAACGTATACTTCATCTAATTTACTTACCGCTGCACGTCATCCGCGTCATAGTCCGTGAGGTCACATGATACCAACACGAAATATTTAGGCGGTAGGTGTTAACTTTTTTAGAATCACTTTGTCGAGTACAATGGCATTACAGCCACTAGACATATTTTATTATATACGCATAGAAATAATATTTAAATATTTCTATTAATGTTAACTTAAAGAAATACACAATAATGTTTCATTTAATTTGTATAAATGCATTATAAAGCGTTTTTATGAAGAACATCTGTTCGGAACACACTGTAACTGTAATCGAACGAAGGTGATATTTTGGCATAAATTGGTAATACTTATTTGACAGTTGCGGTTTTAACATTTTTTGTACTTTATTATTTTGAATTTTAAAGTGAATACCTCTTGTTTGATATTTTTACCTATTTAATAAAATCTGTTCTTTTTAGAACAAAATTAGTGTGTTTTATTTCAAAAATGTCACGTAAGAATTTAAATAGTCGTTGTAAAGAGATGGTAATACTTTTGCAATAATTATGTAACCTATTTGATTTAAAATGGAGTCAGGATTTTTTTATACTTTGGCAACTATGCCAACTTCGATCTCTGTCAATGATAATGACGTGCAACGGTAAGTAAATTAGATGAAGTATATGTTAGTAGTGTTATTTTAATAGCGTATGATTTAAATGTATTTAAAAAATCAGTTGAATCAGAGTTGAATATCAGTTAGTAGTTTAATTTGAAAAGAAAAAACGACGCCTAAATCAAAGCCTAACTGGATACTGTTCATAGAGGGTCTTCCATGTCATTAAAGGCACTGAAATTTTGAAAAGCTTAATTTAATTGCGATGATGAGTGTTTTTTTGAAAGAGTTGCCGCTTTTGTTCACTTTATGCCAAAAACAGTCACCTATATCGAAGTCAAAGAATCATTTGCGATGATACTTAACTGATAACGGAGGGGTCTATTTTTAGACAATAGAGTCGTAAAAACAGTCCAAGCAGTGGAGCAAAAATAAAAAAGTCCACCGAAAAAGACCAAGACCACCCGATCGAAAAATAATGGTGACGGTTTTTCGTCACCAAACAACAAAGGTTTCATTCATATTCATATCTTAAGAATTGTTACAATATTTAGTGTGTACTTTGTGTGTGTAGGTTTATTGGACCGTTATTAGGGAAAAGCCGTTCTAGTTTGTATCGCAAAAAAAATCCTTCTGTTATGACAATGTAAGTGTAGAAAAATGTCACCAATTGAGATAAAAGTTGATCAACTAGCCACCTTATTCGCCAGATTTAGCTCCGTGTAACTATTTTCTGTTCACAAACTTAACAAACAGCTTGGAGAATGCTCTATGCACCACTATATAATCATAAGAATCACATGGTCTTTAGAACCTTAGATATTGCTTGCGTGCAGTTATGCATGTTAGTGGTACAGGTTTTTGTCTGTGATTATGTTTCATATAAAATCGACAGTAAACTGACCTTCTCTTTACTAATGAACTCAAAATCACGAACACTTTATTCTTTAGTTCCTTTCACTAACAATTCCAAAATTTCGAATACCAACATTTTCTAATACATTGCAATGTTCATAATGCAATGAAAATAACAGTTCCGTCATTAAATACATGATTTTGTTTTTGCCAAATTGACTTTCTGTTGTTGTGTTGTTAAGTTTCCGTTGTTAATTAACCAAAAATACTCACAATATATAATTTTCATTTAAAAAAGTAAAACGACAATTTCATCTTTCTGCCCTTTATACACATTCCCGTATACAGTACGCCACTGGCAAACTGAAACTTATAGGTGTGTCCATTCTTGTCAACACTTGCAAAAGCAAATGCTCCTTTCTGAACTTTTATATAAACATATCCTAAACTATAACGATAATGTTGATATTCCCTTGTAATTTTTATATTGTTGTGTAAGTAAAAACACAAGTTTTGTTTTTTAATAAAAATTTTGTTTAATAAAAACCTGACAGCTGTGTGAGATGGATAATAAACACGTATTTTTAGGAAAAAATCACACGATATTAAGTTTGGTGACCTAGCTGGCCACTCACCTTTCCTCTTCTTCCTGTCAACTCAGTACAAGATGTTTACAAATTTCTGGTGAGAAGTCCAGGTGATTTTAAATAGAACCATTTAAATCCATATGTAGAGTCAGATAATTTTCAACATTTAAGATGCACTGAAAAAAATGCGAACCAATGATATCCGAAGCTGTAACGGTAATGTTCTCTTGCAATTGTTGTCTTGTTGTGTAAGTAAAAATGATTTTTAATTCAAATTACAATAAAATATGAGCTTAATTTCATAACAACTGCACATTTGACAAATAAAATCCTGACAGATGTCAAATTTGTGTCACATTGCACGCAATAATATTCGACATGTCTAAAACATAAGCGTGCTTCACGACTGAAAGAAGAGTCTGACATAGATAATAAACATTTATTTTTAGGAAAAAATCACAAGGTGCTAAGTTTGGTGATCTAGCTGGCCACTCACTCTTTCTCTTCTTAATTTTAACTCAGCACTAAGATATTTACAAACTTCTAGTGAGAGGTAAAGTGAGCGTGGCGCTGCCTTGGTGGACATATTGAATACCCCACTAATTTTAGGTTATTTTAATCTTTTAATCCACAAGCAGAGTTAAATAATTTCTACAGTAACGATGCAGTAAAAAAAATGCGAAACAAAGACCACCGGTCATTGTCATGCTAGTGTCATTCCAGGAAGAGTCATCTCTTGAACAATGGTTTATAAGTCTGCTGGTTAATTTTGGTAAGCAAGCTGTTGAATGATACGTCAAATTGAAGCGGTACATGAATTACAGATTGATTGGGTCGACAAAAGTTTGGGCATTAACACTATTTGTCTCGTAAAACCGATGCTGTGCTTTAAATTCACTGAATATCCTCTCGAAAGGAGCAACTACAGAGTCAAAAGACAATTCCATTCTTCTTTGATATACGTTAAACGGATAAGGACTGCCATGGCGACATAAAACAGTTACTAAGATTCAGAAACCAACATGGACAGGCAATGTTTTTAGATTGCCAACTGACTTATATCGACCCCTGTAGATATTTACACACAATTTCAACATCATAAGTTTACGTAATCATACATTGCTATTAAACAATTATACATACCTAAAAAGATGAAGTTCCACCGGTTTCCTATCGGCCAAGACTCCCGTTACCATTACTCTAGGATGTTTAATATCAGACATCACAGTTTCTGTGCCAAACGTGTCTTTCAAAATATTTTCTAAGTTTTCGCTGGAGTACGGTCGTATACCGATAAAAGCTTGTTCCTTTAATCGAAAATAGAGACAAAGGCATTCCTTCATTGATTTACCAGTGGCAATAGCTGAAAATATACATAGATGAACGTTTCTCCGTTAAAGTCTAACACCTTTAATACAAAAAGAGCAAGCTCTACTGAAATATTTGAAAAGAAAAATCGTTATAGTTCTATCACTTAACGAGCTGTATCGATGGAATAAAATCAACTTACATTAAAACTTATAAAATAGCAAAAAAGATTATAATGTAACGAGTGTCCTACCTAAGCATAGAATTCCACCAGTGCTGGTGCCGGCTAACCAGTCAAAACTGTCTTTAATAGGTTTTCCAAAGAGGTGCTCCAATTCTAACAGCATCTGAATTAAGATCAGGCCTCTAATTCCTCCACCGTCTAAACACAAAAGTCGACCGCTTCTAGGAATATGACCATTTTTGTGTTTTTCGGCAGCGACTTCCATACCCGCCACAGAAAGCATTGCATTTAGTATATCTCGATTTGTCTGTCCAATTACCTGAAAGAATTTTTTATCACGACAAAGTTTCTTAAATTTCGCAACCAACTGTACTTATAAATTTATAGGATAGGATAAAAATAGAATTGAAAATAACTTCATCATACTTTAATACTTTAGTATAAAAATATATAATCCTATTGTCAAAAAACTTACCTTTGGTGGAGGAATACCCTCATACGTTCCGGATGGGGAACAACCCTCAGTACAGCCCTCCATTCCCTTCTCGCACCTTTTGGCGCCTACGGCTGCCAGATAATACAGCAACTGCGGCTCATTTTCTATAAAGTAGAATAGAAATAAATAGTAATAAACACATTTCAAATCGCTTCACTTTTACAAAAGAAAGACGGATTATACTTTTTAATTTATTGTACAACTTAACACCGATGAAGTTAGCCCAGGTCGGGTTGCTACTACATTCCAAACTGTGTCAGTGTACTCAATGTATGTGTAGCCTTATGTCACAATTGGAAATAACAACAAAGGAGATTCAAAACGTTTTGGTGAGGAGTTTTCAATGGGAATAAACCACATTTGTATTTGAATAATAATTTCAGAACCATAATAAACATTATTATATAAATAAATGATAATTTGAATGCATTCAGAAATATAAAACAAAAAAAAATCGTAATATGAAAAACATTTTACGGAATAAGACTTACCTGCAGTTATCATATGCCTAGCCGTTTCGCCTTTGTTGTTCAAAATATTTAGGTCTACTCCGAAAATAATTAGCGCCTGAATTATAGCAATGTTGTTCGCTTTCACCGCTAAATGTAGTGGCCTATTTCCATCCTTATCGCCCAAATTAGCGTTAGCTTGTCTACTTAAAAGAGCCACCACGCAATCCAGCCTTAAAAAATATTACTTAACTGAAATTAACATACTACATGCGTCTTAAACATAGCAAATATGTTTCTGTGGTCATTTTAAGTTATTTTATCCATAATTGACGTCTTAAATCTTACAATTTTTGAGAAAATAGTGGATAAGAGAACAGCCAGAAGAAAAACACATTATATCGTTAATTTGGCGAGGTTTTGGGTGTTTATTTACGGTATTTTCCAAGGCTTCTTAACTAGTGAAAGCGTACGTTTCATGGCAAGTATAAAATCAAAGAACATTCGCCATTATGTAGTACATACCAACATAATATATTAAAATTTAATTTAATATTTATAAAAAAAATTAAAATGTTAATAAATCTTTGGGAGTTTCATGTGAATTGAATTTAAATAAACTTTTTTTCTTTCAGCTGTCCTTTTACCGCTAGTTTTTAAAAATATTGTAAGTTTTTAGTTAGAACGCAAAAAATTAGGTTAAATTTGGTTAGGTTAGCTTAATTACATTATATATACATATACATTCATATACATATAATACAAGATGAATTGACTGCTGCAATACAGTCTCGTTCTCCCAGTGCGACAGAGAAAATTGACGCAAAGCAGTCCCCGCATCTCTGTCTAAAGGACCGGTTTTATCGACCACGTGACCTTTTTTCATTCCATCTTGAAAAACTAATTACTATTTAACTGGAAATAAGCCACAATCAAAGATAAAAATACGTTTATTGACGTTTCAATTTCCACTTCGGAAATCAGCCGATATTTCAATTTCTAACTGAAATTCACAGAAAACGTGCCCATTTAATAAAGCAGCCTGATGTCCACGCTCACAATACGCGAAACTGGCACTACGTACCGTTCCCGTCATAAAAAACTGGTACAACTCTTATAATCAAAAATCGTGTTTTTTAAGTTGTGTACGTTGATCTTGTCAGATGTGTCATTCTGATTTCTAGGGCACCGTTGCCAGTTCAACGAAAATATTATATATAACCAGATAAAAGCAAGGCAGTTTTGAGTATAATAAAAACTAAAACATTATCGAGCATTCTCGATCAGTGAGTTACATTAAATTTGTTTAAACATGCATTCTAAAAAATTCTCATATTAATTTTGTAATTTTCCATCATCTCAATTAAATACCCATACATTGATTTGTGTTTTATAACAATTTATGAAAATATTTCAATTCAAAAATAATGACAGATAGACAAAGTTCAAATTATTATAATAAAACATTACACTGAGATATTGGATTGTAACTGTTACGTTTTGAAAAGCGTTTTTTCGCACCGAATATTTTCTAGTATATAATACGTAGGATAAAGTATAATGGTAGTTTTTCACATTTTTTATCGTTCTTTTAATAAATAATAAATTAATCTTGGTAGTTTGCCTGTTACAAAACTTATTGACACAGAATACAGTTCGAGTTGGGAAGGTAATTGAAGATAAAATTACAGTAGATCCATTCCAATGTTCCCTGTGCTAATACCCTAGTTTAAAGATCTTTCAAACCTTTTGGATAGTAACTCAACCCTATCTCTGCTTATTTAATTTCTTAGATTCAGTTTTTTTGGTAATGATAAAAATAATACCTATCTAAAAATTTTATACATTTATACATCTAATTTTATAGATTTAGTGCAATTCCGTTATCTGTTCTGGCAACAACGAATTGATTTCTGAACACAGGTTTACATTGAGAGAAAAAAGTGTACCAGTTTTATATGACGCGAAGTGTACGAACAAATCGCTGTAGATTAAATCTTTCAGAAAAAAATTGCCCTAATTATAACTTTTGCAATATTTTATCAAAAATTATTAAACAGCTAAGCTGTAATAGTTTCGATAAAGTTATAAAAAAATATCTTCTAAATTTTACTGCTCAGAAGACTATATGACTCATTGCAGAACATCCACTGAACTGCTAACCGTAACTTTGCCATAAATCTTTTTCTGTTTAATATGTGTTTTTGTTTGTATATATTTAAGTTACGTTTTATATTAATTTTTTTATATATAATATGTATTTTTTTACTTGCTATAAACAATATTTGTATTTGTTATGTAGTTAAATAAATACTCTACCTGCAAAAATGTAACTTACCGATTTCTTTCGACCATCACGTGCAGTGCCGTCTTAAATTCGAAATTCAACGAGTTTATATGACAATTGACATCGATTAAGGCTTCTACGACCTGTCTAGAACTGGCCCAATGTAGGGGAGTCCCTCCGTTTTTCATGTCTTTCGAGTAAAAAGTGTTCGGGTTTTTCTGTAAGTAATTGGCTACGTAGCTTGGTTCCGTCGTAAGTGTATCGGGATTTTCGTTTTTCGTTGCCGCAATGTTAACGTCGGCTCCTGCGAGTATGAGGGCCGTGACGCAGTCGCATTTGTCTGCCAAGCACGCCATGTGGAGGGGAGTGTGGCCGTTTTTGTTGCGGGCGTTTAGAGAGCGTTGTGTAGCTGTTTGGGAAAGTGCCTGAAAGAAACAGAAATATCCGATAATCAATTTGTTTTATACAAGACATGGAGCTGACGGAGATGACAGGAATAAAAAAATTAACGCTCATATAATATTCACTGATCTTAAAAAAGCATAACACGACATGTCATGTCACAATAATGCAAGACCACATAATATAACATATACAGTGAAAAATAGAAATAATATAAAAAAAAAATTCAGTTAGGTGTAATATAGTTTTCATAAAAACGACCACACTAGGAGCTGAAACAAACAAAGTCCTGTATACTATAGACACAGTGTGCCAACAAGAAGTGTTTTGCTAATTTATAAGATTGTTTAGAATTCATTGCCTTAATATTAATATTTTTGTTCAGGTTTAAAAAACAATTATACAGATCATAATTTATTGTATTAAGTTGTGTAACACACTCTAGAATATGGTATAATGATATGCCTTTTGTTTCTTGTATTGTACTGATGTTGATTAGCATGTGTTTTACATCTTGTATATTATTATGAACAGTTAACAAACTTTCAAATATATATATATTGAAGGTAAAGGAAGAATGCCATACTTTTTAAACAAGGGTTTACAGCTGGCACGATATCCTACTGAGTCAATAATTCGGATTGCTGCTTTTTTTTTGAAAAATGAAAATGTTATATGCATAGGACTTTATGCATAGGATCCTAGGCATTATGCATAGGATAGTTTCCCCAAAGAATTATGCAATATGTAAGGATACCATGAACCATTCCAAAATAAACTGACCTAAGAATATTTCGACTCACAGAAGTAGCTAATCTGCGCATAGCAAAAATCTGTGAGGCGAGCTTCTTACGCAATCCTTCAATATGGTGCGACCAATTCAACCTTGTATCCATAGTAACATCTAGTAACTTTACTCGTTCAAATGGTTTAACCCATCTACCGGAACTAAATACTATTATCTGGGTTTTCTGCTCGTTTAACTTCAGTTTGTTACAGTTAAATCAGTATTTAGTTCAGTTGGTGTGTTCCAACGCACTTGATAAATCATTTATATATTAAGAATAGCAGAGGTCCCAATTAGGATTAGATTCTTGAATATTAAATGCAACAATCTGTGTTCTTTCTGTAAGATATGAAATTTTATCAATAGTGTTTGAATATCCACAAAATCAAAAGCTTTTCCTCTAAGCTCAAAAGAGCATAATTCCATTAGTAGATTCACCTGCATCAAGACTGTGAACAATATGTTCTATTACTTCTAATAAAACTTTAGTTGTTGAGTATTTTTTCTAAAACCAAATTGAGAGCTAGATATAATTGGTTTGTTATCCAAATAATTTGTTATACGACCTTTAATTAAGATTTCAAAAATTTTACTGATTATTGGTTACTAAGTGAAATTACTTTTGATATTCTGAATACATCACGCCAGTAACCCTCATTCATACATTTGTTAAATATTATTGTGAGTGGTTCAATAATTATTTGTAGAGAGGCCTTAATAATTTTACTGTTAAAACTGTAGTAGTCAACACATGAGGATTTTTTTAATTTGTGTATGCATTCTATCACATCAGATCATCGAGCAAAAAGACAAAAGAGACAATGTAAATTTGCCCCAGTGGGGGCAAACATATTGTTAGACAGGAAGTGCGATCTTTAGAGGCCACATTAAACAAGGAAAGAGAGTCTCTCTCCTTGTTTGACATCAAATTTAGTTGGGTTATGTTATTGTTTGTCCCAAATGTCACATGAAATCTTATTTATATTGAAGTTTTTTAACAATTGTGTCGCATTTTAGACTATTATCGTTAATAATTAATTAAAACTTTCTCGTCTAAGACACATTCTGAAAAATATTATATACCTACTGTTGATAAGTGTCGGAAAATTTAAATTTGGCGCATTCGCATTTCCGGATATGTCCGCCATCAGAGGCCACTTTTTTGGTCTCCTTTTCATAAGGATTAGATTCCCTCTTTTGTATTTTTGCTCGATGCATCAGATGCTACTATTGGGACCATAAAGAACGAACTCGACCTTCTAGGTACTCTGCTAAGATACTAGTTTATGTCATGCTTAGAGTTTCCTACTGATTTCGATATAATATCTGCTATATTCGTAATGCATTGATTAATCTCTTCTGGTGTTAAGTTCAGATTGGACAGTATTTTCCTTATAGGTTTCTTTTTTAACAATGCTTTATATTGTCTTACTTTTCTTAGTGGATTTGTTTATTATGTTTTTCAGCTTTTATTGCTTGCTTGTATTTCTTTCGCATTTGACAATATTTATTAAAATTGTCAGTAGTATGTGTTTTCCTATAAGTTGCTGTTTTCCAACCGTAGAGTTGTTTTCTTAAAATTTTACAGAGAACTTTACGTTCTTTAAAGGAAAACAAATGCTGTATTCTTCGCACATATATCTCATAAACAACTCTGTCATGTTGGTTGAATTTCAGTGGATATGATATATGATGAATATAAGATGATAATAAGAAATGAATTCCAGGTAAGTGTGTGAAGATTGTAAGAGACATTATAAGGGAGGTAACTGTTAAATATAGGTTGGTAGTTAGTGTAGGTTGGCTATTGTGTAATTATGAGTCATGCCAACATCATGTTTGTAAGTGTGATTCTATTAAAAGAAGATATCCTTCGAAAATGAGTTTATTTAAGTATTTTCTAAAGAAAATATCCAAAACTACTTGAAAAGTTAGTGGTCTAATAATTATTTACAAATAATTATAATGGAAAATTTTATTTCAAAAGAATTTAACAAGTTGATGAATATATTAATGAAGTACAGTTGGAACTAGGTTCATTGAAAAGAGCACAACAAATATCTAAGTTATGTACACAATGTAGGTACTTACGTTAATAATTTCCTTGGTGGTACTAGCGGCATAATGAAAAACGGAATTCCCTTCGTAGTCTAGATGTTCCAGAGAACAATTCGCAGCTATCATTATTTGAATGGTTTTAATATTCTGAGTGGTAATGGCGACCTGCAATGGAGACATCCCCGTTTCGATCTCGGTGCTGTTGAGGAGACTATTCACCGTAGAGTCGCTAAAGCAGTCGTACAATGCAAAGTGGGCGGCGAGATGTGCTAGAGTCCAAGTGGGGTGTTCTAACACGACGTCGCAGACTTTCTGTAAACTGTGAATGTTGCACATCTGAAAATAGGACAATGAAATTGGACACAATTTAAAGGCGATTTGTATAGTCAAATAGGGGGTGGGAAATTTCTAGAATAGATATTGTTTTGCTTGCCGGTGGTTTACCACTGTAATGTTTGTTTGCATCCATGCTCTTACTGAAGATAAAAGAGATAATATGAAAAGTATATATACATAGGCATGGTCAGGAGAATGACCGGGATCATATATGACAGAGATGAGCCACTGGTACCGTCCCGTTGTAGATGTTCTTTCAGAGTCTACATGAAAAGTAAATCTGCCAAATACAGCATAACAATTTGAATTCTTGCTGAATAAGAGACTTTCTACTGCAAAAACTTGCAAATATATTTGGGAAAGAAGAGAAATCCCCAGAAATGAACTTATATACTTCTTTGGAGTTGGCTGAAGACTTATTTGACCGAGACCTTACAATGTGTAAAAAAAATATAGATCTCATCCGTAAAGAATTCTTGTCCCAGCGCAACATCCTGTGCATTTTGCTATTTTTGCATATCAGCCAGAAGTTACCATAGTATAGTATATTCCAAAAAAAACAGAGGTGTTGTATTGCTATCTTCTGAACAGAGCGATGGCATAGTTTCGGAAGGACACAAAAAATCGGAGATAATTTCCCACTATAATGCCACCAAAGACGCGACTGATATCTTAGATAAAATGGCTGAACCAAACAACGGTCAACATAATAAAGAGACGCAAGCGAGAATACTTGTCACATTATAAGACATCCTGAAAAAATATTAACTTTTGGGAAAGATCTAGGGTAAACGTGGTCCTGGTAGAAGAACAATATGGCTAGAAAATCTAAGACACGAATACGGAAAATCGACTACACCACTATTTAGAGCTGCTTCGGTCATGGAACTAGAAAAAGAAGAATACAGCTGTAAAAGACAATCCAATAGATAGCCAGCTGTTCTCCTTATAAAATTTATTGACATTGCGGCAGTGAATGCTTCTGTTTTATGGAAACAGCTGCATCCCGATTTGAAATCAGAATGCTGCTACAAAAGACGATTATTCCTTTTGGAATTAGTTAAGGAACTAGAACCTCATAAAAGGAGGAGGATAAGTAACATTACCATATGTTCCAGGCTGACTACAAAGAGAGTTGAAAAACTTAATATTGGATAATATCAGACAGCAGCACAGTGCAAATCAAGGGGAACAAATACAACATGAGTGCGAATTACGCAAACGATGCACATATCATGCATGTTCTATATCAAAATACAATAAAGTTCAATCAAAATGTACCTTGTGTACAACATAAGATAGATTTTGTACAACATAGTAAAACAAAAAAATTGTAAGTGTTAAAAATAATTGTATAATAAATGCTTATATTTTAGAAATAAATGTTTTTTTTTTAATTTTTCTTTCATTGAAATAACCCCAACGGCATTAAGATATGACTAACCAATAACAATTTGATCACAGTTTCAAGAGTACAAATTACGAAAACTGTTAAGGTGAGCATTCATTCCAGCTGGTGTCAGGCTTTTTGAAAATCACCAGAAGCCGGGAAGGTTAAACAGATGGCAATCATTTTAAAGAATTGTTAGAGGAAGACTCTTAGACAAGGAAAGAGAGGGGACGCGAAATCATATGGAATTGACTGAAGTCTAAACTGGCACCAGAAGCACAGTATAAAGAGGTGGAACCTCTTTATACCGTGCCAGAAGGGTTGCCAGGTCATAATTTATTTCTTCAGTAGATTGAGAATAATGAAAATATATCAATAAATGGATGTTTTTAAAGATTTATAACTGACAACTGATATAATCATCTTTAAACATGATTTTATTATTACATATTTTTTAGTAGGTCAATATAGTGTTTCAGTAGATCAATAGATTGAAGTTGAAATCAGTAGATTTACTAAAAAATCAGTAGACCTGGTAACCCTGTGACTCCTGTGAGATAGTAATGGGCAACATACAGGCAACAAAATATTGCAGTCACATTGAAACTGGACTCACTTTGTGAAGGTGAGGTTATTAGATGAGCTTTACCTGTCCACTCTCTTTTCTTGTTAGCACCTACTTGTAACTCTTAACTCTACTTGAGCTTTAAGTAAGACATGACATCAGTGTTGTTTTCTTTCAAATTCATTAGGAGGGGGCGTCTTTGAGACATTGTCAAGAAACAGCCCCACTGGAACAAAAATTATGTGCTGGGTATGTCTTGATTACCATACCCCACTAGCCCATAAGGACTCGTGTGCTATCTAGTAACAAGCACCCTTTTTAAACTATATAAAAAGTTCAAGCTGGGGTACAAAATAATGTAACGTTAATATTAAAGTACCTTAAGTGCTGCCATCTGTCTGTCAAAAGCCAAAGATTCCAGTTAAACACATAGCTATTTAAATTTATTTTGAAATAATATTAAATAAAAATTTAAACTAAATATTGTTGTGCAAGTGTAACAACTGTTGTTTCACAAATCAATACTAAAATAAAAACAAGTAATTTTGTCAAGGGGAATACATATGCAAACAATTATATAAAACTTCAAGAAATACAAAAACTTCTTTTTTGTAATTGGTAAAATTAATTTATAGTATACAAAAAATTACAAAATTTCACTCACCTCTTTGGCTACTTCTACAATCTGTGGTATTTTATCCTTATAAGTTACGAATCTATTTTCTGCCAACTCTAAACTAGGTGTTCGGAATAAGCTGAAACATTAATCATCACATTTTAATATGCTTTGTTCCAACAAAACTTAAAACAATGTTTTCAAATGCTTTTAGATTCTCAAAGTTAGGATTATTTTTAAGAAATCGTAACAGGTTCAATGCTAACAATGCGGATCCGAATTACAAACATTTATTATTGCGTGCTAGTGATGTGGATCCGTGCTTTTAACAATCCTGGCTAAAATTTTTCTGTTTTAATAGCACTGGTCTTAAGGGTTACTAGTCAGTTATTGCGCAGAGATAAGAGGTTAAGTAACCTTTATTGCGTCACAATTTGGTCACATTTGATATCAATTTTACATGAATTTTTGCATTTTCAGGTTATGTGACATATGGATATCTTGGAAGCAAAATGTTCGGGAACAACAATGTAATGATCTACATTCCAGATAAGATTGTTTTTGAAACCAAAGATGTCTTAACACTTAGGAAGGAATAATTACTGCATATAATGAAAAAGGCTAATGACAACTTTAATTCAACAACTTTATTGTGGCAAGGTAATGAACATTGATACACGAGTTCAATTTAGCAAAAGCTGTTAGTGGAATCAAAGGCCATAATCCTTCTAATTATTTGTGTAATAGCATATGAACCTCTTTCTTAAACTATTGTTGAAGAGAATCAATATTTTGAAGAGCTGTTTCCAAGAAGAATGAGAGCCTGGAGATGTATAGACTAAACTGTAGTAAGTATTTTGTGGTTTCTGTTTCATTTGGTCACAGAGTCCAAATAAAGAAGTAGAAGTTGGTTATAGTGGACATTGCACAATTACTTACTTTTATTCGGATGGTCTTTGATGATTTCTCAACAAGAGAAGAGTTGCTAACAATGATATCCATAAAAGTCAGAACACGAGATATTGATTTATTCATGGAATCCAAACATTTTGTCAGTAAGATTAATCTACCTTTTATTAACCTCGTTTTAATAACAACAGATGGAGCTCCGGCAATGATTGGTGTTAACAATGGATTTATATCACTATGTCAAAAAGATGAAGATTTCCCAGACTTCATTAATTACCACTGCCTTATTCATCAACAAGTCCTGACCAGTAAAAGGCTTAACAAAAAAGATGTGATGGATATTGCATTTAAAATTGGCAATTTAAGAGGCAAATCTCTCTAAAATTGGCTGTTTAAGCAACAACTGGATGACAGAGGACCAGATTTAATCTGACACACCAGCGTAAGGTGGCTGACTCACAATAAGTTTTTACAAAGGTTTCGAGATTTGCTAAATGACATTATTAAGTTTCTTGAAGAAAGGGGTGATGATCAACAGCAATTACATGTCTTAGACTGGTAACGTGATTTAGCATTTCTGGCAGATTTCATTGGTAAACTGAGCACATTAAATCTAGAACGGTTTCTAAGATTTATGAACATTAAAGATAACATAGAAAAATACCTGGCATTTGTTTTAAATTCACAGAAGTATACAGCATAAATTCAGTTGGTGGTACTAGACCTAGAAATCCGTTTTAGAGATTTTATTAAAAGTGAGGTTGGTCGAATTTATCAATTATCCATTCAATGATACTATTCATGACACCTTTAAAATATCCAAACAATTTGCAGAGATATTCCAAATGGACCAACTTATTCTTGAAAATGAGATAATTGCTATGTGCTGCTATGTAGTTTTTAAATAAAGGTCAGGTTCACATCTAGATTTCTGGCCATTGGTATGCAATGACAAATATCCAAATTTAAAAAAATGTGCTGAACAACGGCATTTACGTTTTGGTACTATTTAGGTGTATCAGTAAATCAGCTCTAAATGTAAAACTTTGACCATCAAGCAAACCTATTAAAGCTATACAGCAAAAAAATTGTAATTTGTCCAAATAGTTAGAACATACCCCATACCCATTGGATACCCCAAATTATTCTGATAAGTAACAAACCCAAGCAAGCTGAGTTTCATTGAATTGAAATAGAAGTTTGTAAAAAAATGCATCCTTTAGTTTCATACAGTCCATCTCTATTTCAATTACTGCAGCCAAAACTTGTCAAAAATGATTTTTAGAGATTTCTGAAGAAGAGTTTCTGGTTTTCTGTTATTATTTATTAGTAATGATCAAATAACAGCTGGTACATATCTTGTATGTTCTCAGCAACTGCTTAACAGGTTATTTTACTATTACCTACAAAATCCTATAACTCTCTTTTGAAAATGTTTTCTTGTTTTGTTGGAATAATTTTCCTATTGCTTTTATTGGACTTAAAATGATCTTAACTTTTCTTTGTTTCAATGACACTTTGGTTAATACAACACTCCAACTGCCTTCTAAACAATACATTGTATAAACAAATCGCAAATTGTCCTTATATTGAAAATAATAATAAAGCTGTAATAAAAGCAAACCCCTAGCATAATTGTTAAAGTCGAAGCTGGCAATGTTCACTTATATTTACAAAGCATACCTATTTGATTTAGCTTCAGCATCACTAGCTCAACTGCTAAATAAATAGTTAATACCTAAAACTCTTCAACACACCAGTGTCTGGTAAAGGAAAAACATCAGATACACCATAATACCTGAAAATCTGGTGCAAAGTCTCTGTAGTTGGTCGGTGAAGAACAATTTCATAATTTGCTTTTGTTCCCTTTTCATTGGTAGATGGTAGATACAGCACCAGTCCATCTTCCCTGCAATGGATGCTTCTAGATGTAAAAAAGTCTGGTCGAGTTTCTACTACTTTATTTGGTGGAGGTTCTGCACTTAACAAACTCCTCAAAACTGTAACAAAAATATAAAATGTAATACATACTAAATATAGTAACAAAGTTCATCTATATTTATGTGTTTTTATGTAAACAATAACAAATCCAAGATCAAATTAAATTTATAACAAAAAGATCACTACAGAAATGTGGTAAATGCCTGAAAACAAAACATTAGAGTATAATTTCCTTTAGAGGTCATTTGCAAATAATAGCCATGTTGTCCTTTGGTTTAATAGCTTCTTTAGGGAACTATAAAAGCCTATTACTTAATTTAAAAAACTGCTTTGATCTTAAATTTATTTAATAATGAAAAAATTACCATTTATTCCTGAAGCTAACACAGACATTTTCCTTTTTTTAATAAGGAATATATATCACAAACAAGCGCATGTATATTTCAATTATCTCAAGATATTTTGGAGATAAACCAAGGTTAACAGGAAATTGCGAGTTCCGCCTTCTCTTGGGATGACCCAAACTCACTATTTTAAAACATGATTATAAATGCACAGTTTGACATGTTATAACCTTATATTATTCTAGAAGCTTGAACCAAAGAATATAGACGCTTATAGAAGAATTTTTCACTTCCCGTTTAGCAAGTTGAGAAAGATTGAACAGAGTTGATCGCACGTTACAAAAAAGAAGGGAGGTGGATCGAGATGGATCGAGGTTTCACTAGGGAGCGGTCATGTCAGCGCTGTTATTGCTTCTAAAATATGAAAGAGTGGGGCAACAAATGCAACTTAGATATTTTTATGAGATGCCGCGTGGTCGTAGAAGAGGATTAAATTTTTGCATTTTATAAAAATTTTTAAAGAAAAGAATATATTTTATTATTATTATTATTTATTATTATTTTAACTTTTAATAAATTAATCTTTTTAAAAAAATATGACTCAAATTTTTAATTCAAATATATACAAAAGTATAAATAATATAATTAAAACTCTCTTCTTATAAACTATAAATAAAATTAATTAAGCGGCAATCACCGGGAGAGAACGCTCAAAAAATTGTAAGGTGTTTCGATCAAAAAACAATTCCTGATCTTGTTAGTACGCTAGAATTGCTTTTAACACATACACCAAAGAATTATTTTTTATATTATGAAGTATAATTTCGGATTTTTAAATTAAAAAATAAGTAAGTCTCAAATAACTAATCACCAGAGCTCAACAAAGGAAGATAAGAAAAATTCAAAAATTGCAGCTGGGGCATAGACCATAGCAAATCCTTAAACATCCAAATCAGCAACACCCGACGATAAAATGAGACTTGGGGAGAATAAAATCACCCCCTTGTAATAGAGTTGCTAAGAAATCAAAGTGCTCTAACGAGCAGACTAGGTCATAAAGCACCCTGACAACAGACACCACCCTGATACTCAACTAGATCGGGCTCAAGCAAATTTGATCATTAACAAACTAGAGCAAGCACTTGAGGCTCCTATCTAAGGTCAAAATGAACTCCTGCAGTTCCATAAAACATCGTTTAGCAAAGGGACTCTGTGGGTGAACTGTGTTAACGAGTATACAAAAAAATGGACGACTGAAGTGGTGAAGACTATTGAGGGCCTGTGGGAGAGAGTAAACTTAAATATAATTGTTTCAATAATATGCCTAAGCGCCCCATGATCCTCACCCGCGACCCCAAGAAAAAACTTGATGAAGGACCCATCTAAAAAGGCAAAATCAAGACCTTAACTCAGAAGACTTGTGATCTCTGTTCCACATACTGAACGACAGTAAAGATAAATGTTATAGAGGGAGGAGTTATGGAGATAGTTCTCAGATCAGCATACCTCCTATATCCTATCTACCTCTTTTTCTTCTTCCAGGCGAATTCATCTGTGAAGTTTTTGGAGCCAACGTTAGTCAGGCATTCTCAATAGGTGTCCAAACCATTTTAAACTTTTTTTTTCTATTCTGTTTCTGTAGCATTCGCATTATTTCTTATAGATTCGTTGGTCTTCCTTCCAGCCTTAATGTTCTAGCACTTTTTCTCAAATAATCCATTTCAACTGCCAACAATCTTCTCTTCAGGTCTGCATTAATTGTCCATACTTCAGAGCCATAACAAAGAACTGATTCAACCATGGTTTGCCCTATTCTTTTTTTGTTCCTTTGGACTTACTCCCTGATTAAGGGTAACATACTGCATCCTTGTCTTAGTCCTTTGGTTACTTTTATTGGCTCTGATAGTTTATTTCCGATTTTTAGGTAAGTAGTGTTATCCCTATATACTTTTGTGATTATTCCTAAAAAGTATGGACTAATGCAGAGTTGTTGTAAAGCTTGCCACAAATTAAGTCTTGGAACTGTATCATACGCTTTTTCTAGATCGATGAAAGCTAGATGTACTTCGGTGCCAATCGTTATTCTTTTTTCTATTAATTGTTGGAGTATAAACTCCAACAATTGGTTGGTTGGATATAAGTTATCAGTGCTAGATCTACCAGGCGTAAATCCACTTTGGTCTTCGCTAATTAGATGTCCTACATCATCTTGTATTTTTCCATTTATTATCTTTCTTTCAAACAATCTACCGAAAGTAGGTAGGATACGTAATCCTCTGTAGCAGTTAGGATCTTTTCGATTACCTGTTTTAAAGATGGACTCTAGGTGAGCGGTTTTCCATTCAGATGCTACTTTAATTTGTTTGCAACATTGCTTCATTAGAAAAGTTATTCGTTCTATTAGAAGTAGACCTCCTGCTTTAAGTAACTCTACAGCTATATTACCAGGTCCTGGAGATCGCCCATTTTTTATTTTAATTAACGTGGTACGGACCTCGTTATTAATAATATTAATGTTACTATTTGTTTGTCTCTCCATTCTGTATTCCTGTCCCATATATTCCAATCTGGACTGTTGTAGAAAATTTCAATAGTGATTTTCCCACTGTTCTATAGGAATTAAGTTACTTAAGGAGTTATGAGTGTTTTATTTTAGATTAGTGATAGTTTTCCATGCTTCCGTACTCTGAGAACCACCAAATAAATTTACAAACTTGGACACATTTTTGTTCCCAGAAATTGTATTTTGCTTCTTATCTTCTAGAGATGTTGGCGACCACATTGACCTATCTTATTCTATTCATAGCAGCGCGCAATAGATCAGTTGACGTTAGATCAGTCCATTTCCTAAGATTGGCCAGCCAGGATATACGTCTACGTCCAGGGTCTCTCTTACCCTCAATCTTGCTCTGTAGAATCAACTGTAGAAGTTGGTATTTATTATTACGCATGATGTGGCCGAAGTAAGCCAATTTTCTGTTTTTTTGTGATAATGTCTTTGGCTTTTCTTAGCCTTTGGAGAATAATGTTACTTGTATGGTGTATATATGACACCCTTAATATACGTCGGTAACACCACATTTCAAATGCCTCCAATCATTTTATGGCATCTTCTCTAAGGTCCAGCTTTCTACTCCAGCTTTCTACTCCAGCTTTCTCTTCCAGCTTTCTATTCCAGAGAAGATGACACTAAAAAAGTAACATCTAAGAATTCTTATGCATATATTAACACTTAAAGATAAGTTGCAGAGAATCTTCCTAAGGCTGTTGAAAGAGCTTCTGGCTTTTTCAATACCAGTTTTTATTTCGTAGCTATAACCCAAGTATCCTTAATATTGCTGCTCAAAATGCATATTTTTTCCACTCTTTCTAACGGTGTATCGTTAATTGTAATTTGGGCGTTTATGCCGGTGTTCTTACTAATGATCACTATTCTTACATGCTTCTAAAACGTTATTCATCATCCTGAGCACTGTCTGCCAGAGACACTGTATCGTCTGCATGTCTAATGTTGTTTGTGTTGGCCATTTACAGCAATCCCATCTTCTGATTCGTCTAAGGCCTCTCTAAAGATGTTTTCAGAGTATATGTTAAATAATGCCGGTGACAATATGCAACCCTGTTTAACTCATTTTTCGACTGTGAAGATCTCGGGCAGTTCATTTTCTAATCGTATTGTTGCTTTTTGTTGGATATATAAGTTTGAGATCAGTCTTATATCCTTATCATCGAGTCCTGATGTTTTTAGGATCTCGATTAGTTTCCCATGTGGGATTTTATCAAATGCCTTCTCGAAATCAATGAAACACAGATCGCAATTGACATCCCTGGCTCTCTGTATTAGTATTAGTGTGCCTCTAATAGACTTAAAATTTCACCATGCACCTCACCAGGTCCTGGTGATTTTCCATCTTTAATCCGCTTAATGGCCATAACATCTTCGTTTGTTATTTCTGGGCCGTGGGGATTGTTTATTTCAGTCGGACTTCGTGCTGCATCTTCGAATAATTCTTGCATATATTCTTTCCATCTTCGTAATTTATCCTCAATGGTAGTCAACATTTAGCCTTCAATGTCTACAACTATTCCTGTTTTGTGTTGTTTTCTGGTATTCTGTACCTCTTTATTTTTTTTTGTCCATATGGAAATCGTCATGTTTGCGTTGTAGTGTTTCAACATCCATACATTTCTCCGTACTCTTTGATTGCGTATTTCTCCGTTTTTCCTTTGATATGTTACTCTATTGCTAGATGTTTTATTTGTTAGCCATTTCTTATACATTTTGTTTTTTTCTTGTATCGTTTATTTTACGGTTTCTGTCATCTATGGTGGTTCGTGGTGTTTTTGTCGTTGTTCTCTGTTCCTAATACTTCATAAGCAATTTTTTTTATTATCGTTTTAAGGTTGTTGTATTCTTGTTCTACATCCATATTTCTTTTTATCTCATTTTGTTCTTTTTCTAATCTAGATTGAAAAAGATGGATACTTAATTGGAATAAAAGGTGCAATTAATATCTCTCCGTTTTGTACTGTGTAGTTTTGTTGGACCTACCCTAATGGAATAACAACGAGTTCTCTGTACGTACCTACTTAGCGGAGAAAGGCAATGGATAGGAACGACTGGAAAGAAGTTCATGAGAAGGCTAAAATCCACGCAGAGTTGTAAAGACAGAATGATGATAATGATGAATTTTATTAATTATATCGTTAAATATTTCCAAAATTTCTAAATTTAATAATTTCTTCTCTGTTTTTAATATAATATCTTAACATAAAATTAAAACACAACACTGTTATATATTTAATTTGATACATTGCTCCTTATTATCATATTTCTTAGAAGAAAATAATTTTAAAATAACTATTTCTGTTTACAAAATATTTATATTTCAAACAATTTTATTTCAAATTTATAGTTCTTCACATGCTTTTAAAATTTTATTATATATACCAAATGTAGGTACCTACTCTACTTCCATTCAAGAGGGTATAAGCAGTATAAGTGCCCAACATCTGGCCAACAGACCTTTTTCGTTACCTTCCTTTCACTGACAAAGAATGTAGAATTTAGATGCAAATAACATTATTCTGAATTTCTCATAGTTATATAAGTATGTATATAAAATAAAAAAAGTATTAAATTAAATGTATGTCGATTGTATTGACAAGTATGGATATTAAATTTGTGTGCAAAAATGCAATTATTAAATCTGAGTAACTTATTTTGCCATACAGATTTATAATTGCAATATTTACATTTTTCATTAATTTGAGGTATTAGGCGAAACGTGTTATTTATTCGTATATCTAATATAGA